GGTAATGGCTCCATTCCCGGAAGGCAAATTAGTGAGGTTAGGAGAAAAGTAGTTTGCCAAAACACTTAATACAAGACAGAATGCCAGCTTCCCAGTTTGTTTGTTTTTTAAGTATAATGGAAAAACGTAAGGGATGAAGAAAAAATTGGGAGGGGCAGGGAGCTGAGTGGACGCCCAGGGAGGTGTCCAGGGCACATTAGTGCTTGTAGGCTCTGCACTGGAAATCCCAGAGCCACACTGTTAGCATAACATGTTAGTTTTACTCTGTATGTAGGAAATGCATCTTTTAAAGCTGCATGTTATAGTTCATGCAGGTAGGTTATACAGGTGTGCATAGTTATGACTTCTCTTCCAAAGTCTTGCTGCGTGACTGGAAATTGGAAGCATGGCCACCCTGAGTGACCCCAATCCCAGAAACACTCACTACATGTAAGAATAGCTCTGCTGGACCAGAGCTGATCTAAGCCAGTGTCCTTCTCCCCACAGTGTTCAACCAAGTGCCTGTGAACACTCTGTAAGCAGGACATTTGTTTGTTCATTCGTTTGCTCATTATTTCACTTCTATACCACCCAGTAGCCAAGGGCCCTTTTCTCTGTTACTCTCCCACAATTGGTATTCAGAGGCATCTTGCCTCTCATTATGAAAGTAGTGTACAACCATCATAACTGATACTGCTTGATAGTCTTCTGTTTTCAATTTTTAAATTAATTTTCCAAATGCAGACAAACAATAAAAAGAGAAATTGCATCAGGTTTAAATCTCATTGTTGACTGAAGGCAGTACATTTTCCATCTTTCCCTTTACTTTACAGGCTGCTTTGAGATTTTTATTAAAGTTCTTTATAATGGCAAATTATATTTAATCTTTTTTTCTATAATCTGAGTGAAGACTTGGAAAGATGTTTCTGCATAAGATCCTGATTCTGTATTGTATAAAAATCAGATATTTTAACTTTGCCTTTAGCTAGTTTCAGTTGATGCATCGATTTTCCTACCATGGGTATCTGTCATAGCTTCATGTACTTGTTCTGCAGTGTTAGATGTTTTGCACTTTTGCATGTTGTTAATCCTATACTGTTAATAGATCCAACGCATGTAACATGCAACATACATGTAACTGTATGGTGTAACATACAGTTTGATGTTTTCCAAAAATACCAGACTTCAGAACAGGACATGTCCCCACAGGCTAGCTTTATTTTTCATGAATTTTACTAACTCTCCTTTAAAGCCATCTCATTTTCTGGGTGTCACCACATCCCTGGTAGTTATTTCCATAATTTAAACCAAGTAGTATGTGAAGATCTGCATAGTTCTCTCCTGTTTCCCTAAAGGTAAAGGTAAAGGTTTCCCCTTGACGTTAAGTCCAGTCATGCCTGACTCTAGGGGGCGGTGCTCATCTCCGTTTTCTGGCTGAGGGAGCCAGCGTTTGTCTGCAGACAGTCTCCGTGGTCATGTGGCCGGCATGACTAAACACTGAAGTGAACGGAATGCTGTTACCTGCCCACCAAAGTGGTACCTTTTTATCTACTTGCATTTGCATGCTTTCGAACTGCAAGGTTGGCAGGAGCTGGGATGGAGCAACGGAAACTTACCCCGTTGTGCAGATTCGAACCGGCGACCTTTCAATCTACCAGCCCAGCAGCAAAGCGGTTTAAACCACTGCGCCACCTGCAGTCCCGTTTCCCTAGCGCTCTCCTAAATCCAACTTCTCTGGGTCCTTGATTGGTTCTAGTATGAAAAAGGGAGAAAAATGTTGGGAGAATATAAAGATGGTCCAAGCCAGAAAACCACCAGAGTTAAGCACTTTTAAGCCCCATTGATTTCAAGAGGAAACTTAAATGTGTGCTTAGTGGTGTGCCCCAGGTTTTATCAGGCTTGCAACAAACAGAGGAAAGAGGAACAGATGCTAGGTTTGAGCAATGAAAAGAAAGTTGCTGGAGTATTAACTGGCAAAGAAAGCACAGTTCAGGGAAGGGAAATCTATGATGCATGAAGGAAATGTTTTGCCAAAATATACCAAGGAGGACTTTGAAAGAATAATAACATCACAGAATAGTAGAGTTGGAAGGGGCCAGAGGGCCATCAGATCCAATTCACAAGGGAAAAGAGAGAAAAAAATCCAGATAAATTGTTGAAAGCAGGATGGGAAATGGCAAAAACTGTGGTGGGGGGAAACATGAATTGGAAATGGGTGAAGGGAGAGAGGGTATATCAGGTTTGTGGCAAAGCTGAGGGTGAGAGCAGGGAGGTAAGCAGGGATGAAGGAACAGATAAACTGTATTCAGCACATTGGTGAGCCTTAAGAGAAAATACAAGACCCAGCCTCATGGAATGAGGTGCTAAGTCAGTGCCAAGGCAGAAAGCAAGAGATCATGCAGCCAGTGTGATGGAAGAGAACATGATTCCGGCAGACGGAAAAGAGAGCCAATGGAAGACAAAATTAGCAAGGAGAGGAACAAATGGCATTACCCATGTGAGAGATGACTTGGATATTCAAAAGGTTTTTAGTAATGGATGCAGAAAAGAGCAGGCAGATTGCTGCAAAGGGAGCCACGGAAGGGAGGAATATTAAAATGAAAACTGAAAAGATGATCCCACTGTTGTGTTTTAGGAGACTGAGGAGACAATGGGATCCTCAACAGCAATCCAAAAAGAGTGTGGCGGGCGGGGGGGCGGGGCTGACTAGGAGATTCTTGTTTGACCCAACGCTCAGGTGGAATTACCAGCAGGGCGAAAGGTTGAGTGGGGGGACTTGGCAATAAGCAGATGATAATCTATTTCCTTCCCTGATTTTCATGCACAGAGCAGACCTTTGCCCCTTTAGTGAAGGACTAACTTGACCCTTTTGGGCAACCTTTTGGCCCTAGGGGAGCTTTTAACAATTTGAGAAACTGGGGCATTGCTACAAAAAGGCTGCCATGGAAAGAGTGGACAGGTAATGGTAGGGTCTGAATAATGCCTTTGAACCAACAGTTTCCAGCACTAATACAAAACTGTTTTCTTTTTTGTCTCCATCCCAAGCCGTGCCCAACGTCTGCCAGCCAGCTCAGTTCCCCCATCGCTTGTTTCTCTCATATTTTGGATTACCACCCGTAGCCGGGCAGCCCCCGCCCCTCCACACACACACATGCAAGAACTCCATGCATGCACAAATAGCCTTCCTTTCTCTTCACTTCAAGAACATGAAAAGCCACTCTTTTTCGGGATACCTCCAAAATCTCCCAGGTGTCTTTTTCTGACACTCATGCAACCCCCATCCATTCAGACATACAACACACAACACCTTCCTGCCTCCTAGTTGCTTCCAGCCAGTTCCTCCATTAGAACAAAGCCCTTCTGAGGTGTCCACCCCTCCCTACTTTCTCTTTTCCTTCTTTCCCTTTCCTTGGCAGCTGGACACACCGCAGTGGAAAGCACTGCTCTGGGCCCCCACCGTCTTCGCATCCTGAGAAGGTCCTTGAGCCCCATTGCAAAGCCCACCTGCAGAATCACCTCCTCACTGGTACCTGGGAAGCGCCAACTAGAGCATGTTTGGAGCATCAGCTAAAGATCCAGTTCTTCCCCAAGCCCTTCCCAGGGTGAATGTGCTGAATTTGTTCACTTTGTAGTTATGGCACTGTAATGATTTCAATACTTTCCTTAATATTTATATAAATGTTTTAGCAATAATTCTCATAATGTATTTTAATGTACTGTTATCAACCAGTAAGAGATATTTTTAGGATCAGTGGTATATGATCCCCCCCCCCCACCCCAGTTCTCCGTCAGCTTCACTCTGTCGTTTCACAGAGATTGTGGAAGGCTTCAGCAAGGGAAAGGCATTTAGCGTTAGGAAATGGCAGTGCTTATGTTTATTAACACAGCAGACATTGGCTGCCTCTTCTGTTGGCAGGTGACTGCACAAGTACAGTATGCCATTGCATGCCAGAGGAGAATTTAGATGGGTGGGCAGGGAAATGCCATTCCAATAGTAAATACAGTCAAACATTACAAATCGTACCCATTAATAATCTGGATCAGATAATTATGAGCTATGGGAAAGCACCATAGCTTGGAGGTCACACTTAAGGCCCTGTGTGCAGAAGGTCGTAAGTTCAGTTCCCAGTATCTCCTGATGGGGCTGGGAAATACTTCTGTCTAAAAACCTGGAGATGTGTCACCAACAAGTGTAGACAGTAATGAATTGGCTCAACAATACCACAAAGGAGACGGCTCCTGGGGTTGTTGTAGATCACAAGTTAAACATGAGCCAACAATATTATGTAGCTGCAAAAAGGGCAAACACTGTTTTAGGCTGCATTAAGTATTACTTTCCAATCATGTGAACTGTTAGTTCCCCTATACTCAGCACTAGTCAAACCTCAACTAGAGTATTGAGTCCACTTGGGAGCACTGTTTTTTTAAAAAGGTGCAGAAAAGCTGGAAAGGGTTCAGAGGAGGGCAACAAGAATGATCCAGGGACTAGACACCTTGTGCATTAAGACTGAGAGAACTGGGCATGTTCAGCCTTGAGAAAAGAAGACTGAGGGTGATGTGGTAGTGCTCTACAAGTATCTGAAATGTTGTCACAAAGAGGAAGGACAAGACCTCTTTCCAACCATTCTGGAGCGTAGGACATGGAATAATGGACCTAAGTTACAGGAAACCAGATTCCGGCTGGGTACCAGGAAAAAATTCCCCACTGTCAGAGCAGTGTGGCAATGGAACCTGTTACCTGGGGAGGGTGTGGGCTCTCCCACACTTGAGGCATTCAGAAAGCGTTTGGATAGGCATCTGAGTGGGGTGGTGTAACTTGGTGTCCTGCACTAGCAAGGGGTTGGACCTGAGGGCCTGCTTGGCCCCTTCCAACTCTACTCTTCTATGAGTCTATGACCAATGGTTGGAGTCAGTATAAGGCTGCTTCCCATGTTCCTGTAAACTTTGGAGAAATGCCTGCTAGAATTGATTGTAAGAGGCTGACTGAGAACATTTAGAACTTTTCACTTGTCGTCTTCTAGGTGATTGTTGGGTTCTAGCAGCTCTGGGTTCTTTGACTCTACAACCACAGTTCCTGGAGAATGTTATTCCAAAAGATCAAGGATTCACACAGAAGTATGCAGGGATTTTTCATTTTCAGGTATGTAACACAATGTGTTATTGCTGTTGTGTCATTTTAAATTACGTGTTCAACCAAAATGTCAGAACCAAGGCCTGCTGATGGCAGGCAACAAAAAGGCTTTATTGCTTGCCGTGTCTGGTCGACAACATGTAAGGCAGAATGACAAAAATGAAGCATACAGACATTAAACAGCTTAATTAAAAAAATATAAATGTTAACATACATAGACAGCAATGAATAAAAAGGTGTCCTCATGGAAATGAAAAATATTAATTATTATTCTGTCAACTGACTGTGGATTAGATTAACAGCTGTGGATTGGAAGCATTTACTACAAAACCTTATAGGCATTGCAATAACTTTTATTTTATACATGGTAGAGATGTGGATTTTTGCTTTTCCTTGAGAAACTACCTAAAAATTGTATCTATTTGGTTTCAGTTATATATGGCTTTGCTTGAACACTCTCTGCTATAGGCTTTGAAATAGGCTGCTTGGAATTGTTCCATGACAACCTCATAAGCATGTAGTTTAGCAGTATTCCATTATTCTTATTAAGGAGTTAAATCTATTATGTTGTTTGAAAACGTTTTTTTCATTATCCTCTTATCATCAGCTCAATGCACCTGGATCTCCTTTTCTCCTGACAAGAAGATCAAACTGAGGCAAACAAAAAACAGCCAGAAAGCCCACACCTCTGTATCAAATATCTTTGTCCACAAGGTTCTTAAATGATCTCTTCAAAGTTGCTGCTAACACAGTACAGCTTGGTAATTAGTTTTCATGCAACTTTGTAAAGAATGCATCATTTTCCCCCCACAAAGAGATAAAAAGCCTATTTTCTATTTCAGCAACAGTGCCTGCCATTTTCTATGACTTCAAAGGACTTTCTGAAACAGGAAAGCACAGCTTAACTGCACCAATTGGTCATGTTTCATGCATATTATAACCCCATGCAGGTCTGGGCTGGGCCAATTACTGCTACCAGTTGGGGAAATTTTCTCTGGAGGAAAGGGCAGGAAAGAAATGAAACAAAGCAAATTGTTATGATCAATTGCATTGTTCTTTGGTGGTTATTTCTGGCTCAAGGTGGTGTGCAGGATTCCCTCTCCGACGCTACCCTTGCTGCAACCCCATGGAGGGGCTTATCCTGAGAGACGGGGACTGGGCTGAGACTCCCCACTGAAGGTTGTGGCTGAGTCCAGCACTTAAGCATTACATGGTGGAGGCTGCAGTGAGCGCTGCATTGCTCTTTTCATCAGTCTCTTGAAAATCCCTGCCAGTCATTGCTATCCAGTTTGGTTGCAAGGCAGGAGTGCAGCACTGGCATGGACCAAACTGGAGAAGCCATATTCTCTGCTGATGCTTGGATAAAGTTCTTGACCGACCTCTCATTTGGCAACCTCTGTTTAATATTATTTCTCTTGGGTTTGATTATCTTCTTTTATACATACAGCTGATTGGCTTTTAATGACTGCAAAGTGACCTTGGTTAGAAATTTTGTTCCTGTATTTGTTGGTTGGTTTTCCTCAGGGTTGGGTGACCTGCAGGCTGCACCGAGTTTTTGTGGTTCTCCCGCCACAGCTGCTGCGCCACGGGACTCTGCAGGAGACTGAGACACTTGGGGAGCACATACCTCATCTCCCAACTGGTGATCAGGCTGAAGGAAACATAGAAACAGAGCGAGTCAGAAGGGACATCATGGGCCATCTAGTCTGACCCCCAGCTCCAGCCAGCTCCGCTCACGACATGCCCACCATGTGCATGTCTAGCCTATGCTTGAACAAGGAGCGCAATTCTGTGGAGAGTCCTTGTGCACCATACTTCTCTGCGAGAACAGCAATTCTGCTGGGAAGCAGGGCACCCAGGCACGCTATTAGCAAAACCGAAAACAAATACATTAAAGATTTGATCCTATCTATGTTTGGATGGGAAAAAATACACCCCAGCATTCCCAGCAGGCTGTGTGAGTAGCAGTCCATCTAATCATGCACAAGATTGTGGCCTAAAAAACCAGTAGCACCGTAGTTCAAGAATTCTGCAGCTTTATAGCAGACCACATTCTCTTACCTCTGTGCTGAACAGGGGAACCCGAATTCTCCACCTAGGAAAAAGGAGATGTTTGTTTCACTGTGAACTTTAGTCTTGACCTTTGGAAATCTTCCATTCTCTGGGCAGAATTGCAGCCGTCTCTTGGATGGTGCCTCGGTGTTTGCTCTTGAGACATCCTGCCTTCTGCAGTGTTTGGATACAGCTGCGCTGGAGTCCTTGCCTTCAGCCTTCTCAGCCAGTGGGCCAATTGCCTCATGCTGCTGGCAACTGGCACCGCTTGTCAACTGTGAGCCAAAATACATTCCCATATCAAAGGAATGTGGGAAGATGGCATTCCAGTGTGTTCTTCCATCTATGCCTTGGTGCTCTCTGCCAATCACCTACAATTAAAGATGAAACAAACTTGATTATCTTTTTACTGGCTTGAAGCTGAGCTTTTACTTTGATGGTTCAGATAAGCCCAATTTGCATCAAAGCTTTTCTAGTTCTGGTTATGCAAAATTTAAACTTGGCTTCCCGGGTTGCTTTCAAGCAAAATCAAGCAGGAGCTTTGGAATGCAGGGGAGATATCAAATGCTTCTTTCCATTTCAAATTTCAACACTCTGTGTTTTTCCTTGAGGCTACCAAACCTTAAAAAAATAAATAAAAATTTATCTCATACAGGTACTTGCAAATGCCGACAATTCTTATCATACAACAGGTGGCTGGACTGCTTTTTAAAAACTGATCTACTTAATTGCTTATTCCACAAAAATGGAATATATATTATCTTGGATTGAATCAGGCCATTGGTCCCGAGGGGCTTTGTGTATAGAGGGCTCCTGGTTCAGCCTCCAAGTAGAGCTGAAAACACTGGGAACTACTGCCAGTCAGTGTTTAGCAGCTAAGGGAACGCCCGATGTACCTGTGTCCCTCAAGCTGGCACTATCCCCAATGAAGTCTCATTCACACGTTACTTGCATATAGAGTGCTTATGGTTTGAAGCAGGAATGGGGCTATGTCCCTGATCCTCTTCTATGTTAATCCCATGCCTGAGGTCTGCAAGTTGAACATGAACATCTAGAAAGGAGCCCCTGTCTGTGAACAGTTTTCCCTAGGTCAGGATTCCAAGCCAGTGGGGTGCATGGTCCATCAAGGACCCAGAGTTTGTTTTCATATTTAAAAACAGTACTTGTTTTCATATTTAAAAACAGAGGGCTTAGAACTATTGTTTGCATAACTGACTTAATTGCTGAACATCTTGTGTACTGAATCACCACTTCTGTCATTCTGCCAAAACGATGCAGATGATTCTGGTTTGTTCAAGACAGTTCTCCATGCTGCGCATTTCATATGGCCAAAAGTGCCAGCTCCCTCTTTGTGGGCTGAATGTGCTTTTCATGCTATATGCTGGAGAAGATATGTTGTTATTGCTATGTGTCATCAAATCACCTCTGAGACATGGGGACCCTATGAATGCACACCCTCCAAAATGAGCTGTCCTTCACTGCCCCGTTCAGCCTTGGGAATCCAAGGCTGGGGTTTCCTTTATGGAATTAAGCCATCTCATACTGACTCTTCCTCTTTCTCTTTTGCCTTCAACTTTCTCTGCCATGATTGTTTTCTCCAGTAAGTCCTGCCTTCTTATGGTGTGCCCAAACTACAACAACTTCAGTTTCATTATTTTGGCTTCCAGAGAAAGTTCTGCATTGATCTGTTTGTCTTTCTTTCAGCTCTGGGTATTTGCAAAGCATTCTTTCAGCACCATTTTTCAAATGGATAATTAGTCCACCTGCCTGCTTTCTTCACTCTTCAGTTTTCACATCCATATCTAGTGATTGGAAATAGGAGTGTGCATGATCTTGGCTTTGGTCTCCAGTGAAATGTCCCAACACTTGATAACCTTTTTCTAGTTCCTTCATCGATTCCTTTCCAAGTCTCACTCTTCTAACTTCTTGACTGCAGTCTCTATTTGAACTGATGATTGAGCCAAGGTATGAAAAGGTTTCACAACTTCAATTTTATAATGGATGACATTAAAGTTGTGTAATTCTTCTGTACTCATTATTTTTTTCTTGATATTCAGCTGCAATCCTGCTTTTTGCCTTTCTTGTTTTGCTTCATTAGGAGTCATTTCAGTTCTTTGCTACTTTCTGTCAGTAGTATGATATCATCTGATACCTTAAAATTAGTGATCTGTTTTCTACCAATTTTCACTATTTCTTCCTCTGAGCATAATTCAGCTTTCTTATATGTTCAGTGTGCAGACTGGACAGATAGGGAGATAAAATACCCTCTTGTCTGATGCCTTTGCCTATAGGAAACTATTCTGTTTTTTCCATATTCTGCCCTAACAGAAGCTTCTTGTCCACAATACAGGTTACACATCCAGATGGTTAAGAGCTGAGGTTCACCCGTTTCTTTCAGAACCATCCATAGTTTCTCATGATCCACACAGTCAAAGGCTTTGCTGTACTCTGCAAAGCATGGGCTGAACATCTTCTGAAATTCTTTGGTGTATTCCAGTAGCCAACTCATATTTGCAATATGATCTTGAGTGACTCTCCCTTTTCAGAATTCAGCTTTAACTTTAGGCATTCTTCATTGCAACATCTTGAGTATCCCTTTGTTTGCATGACGAAGTGGCGTAATGGTCATATACTTTCTGTACTCCTTTGCGTCTTCTTTCCTGGGGCTTGGAATGTATATTGAGTGTTTCTAGTACGTGAGCCATTGCTTTGTTTTCCTTATTGTTGGCCCATTCTTGTTAGGACTGGGACGAATTCCATCTCTGCAGCTTGGAATAGCTTCAGCAGCATCATATTAACCTGCATGCTTTGTTCCTTCCGAGTGCTTTCAGAGCAGCCTTCACCTCACTTTCTAACATAAGTTCTTCCTCTTGAGATTCCTCTTTGAAAGAGTCTGTCATCTTTTTGTCTCTTCTATATAGTTCTTCTGTATATGCTTTCTGCTTTCTCTTTATTTCATTCTGGTCAGACAGCATGTTTTCTGTTGGACTTTCAGCATTCCTACTCTAGGTTTTGAATTTCCCTTTGATTTCTTGCATCTTCTGGGGGAGGGCTCTTGTTTTTTCTCTTTCGTTTTCTATTCCCTTGCAATTGCCATTGTAATCATTCTTTTATTAGCATGACTATCTGTTTTATATGAAGTCTATAGATACAGTCACTGATTGTAAATTAAATATTATGTTCTTATAATTGAATAGGACATTGAAGGATTCTGCTACAGGATGGATCTCTCCTCCTCCTCCTATTACTGTGCCTGACATTAATACAGTAGGAAAGTTTTCTGCCACATAGAAATTGCTTAGGAAAAAGGGGGAAATGGTAGAAGTGTACAAAATTATGCATGGTGAAGAGACAGTGGAGAGGGAGAGTTTTCCTCTTTTATAATACTGCAACCTAGGGACATCTTGTGAGATTTAGGGCAGATAAAAGGAAGTTCTTCACATAGTGTATAGTTGGAGCTTCAGCTGTCATATGGTATAGGAATGAAAATAATAACCATCATCATCATCAACAACTATGGAATTTGCTGCCGGAAAACTGAGTGGTTGCCACCAGCCTGGACAGTTTCAAAGGGGGTTTGGGTCAATTCATGGAAGATAAGGGTATCAATGGCTGCTAGTCCTGATGGCAGTATGTTACTTCCAACATCAGAGCGACGTGCTCCTCAGGACCAATGCTGGAGAGCATGACTGGAGAGAGCTGCTGACCTCGCACCCTCTCTGTGGGCCTTTCATGGGTATCAGGTTGGTCACTGGGTGGACAGGATGCTAGAGAGGCCTCTGGGCTGCTTCAACATGGCTCTTCTCATGCTCTGCCTCATCCCTGTTACCACTTCGGGTCACCTTGGAGTGAGAGCTGCTACTGCAGTTCCACGACCTCCTCCTCTGCTTGTTCCTTTCGAGAGCCCCGATCTCAGCAGCTGCCCAGAGCCAAATTTATCCCAAACACGTCATTTTATGTCTTCGTATGACAGCCGGAGATTTTGTCCCATAGTGTTAGCAAAGTCATGACACACTACATTAGCCTGCTAATGATTGTAGAAATGCATCTTTTAGTTTGTCCCCAGCAAACTCTCTCTTGCCTCCTTTCTTGAAACAGTTCATCAGATGCATTTATCAGATGAACACCTGGATTATCCAGCTGCTTGAATGGCCAGTAGAACCCCTTTCATCCATCAAACAGATAGCTAATAGCCCAAAGCAAACTTATGCTGCAGTAGGTTCTTTTACACATGCGGCCATCCTAATGTTTGATGCTGTTGCTTGCAAAGCTAAATAAGAAGCCGGCAGGGGAGAAAAAAAGTAGCATCTGGGTTTAGATCTATGGAGAACTGAGATAAAATCGACCTTCTGTGGTGGAAACTGTTTCCAGTCTTTTCTGAGAATTTGTGCATTCACATTTAAGTTCATGAAGTTGTGAAAAGATATCTCACTTTTCTGCTCCTAAAAGGAGTTCCTTGAAGCAGTAACACAGTATTAAGATGCATAGTAATATAAACAAGAACAGCGGGGGCATGGATGGGGTGACGAAATGGGTTCAGTTTGGACAAGATGGAGGTCCTTCTGATCAGTAGACAGGCCATTTGGAATACAATGTGCTGTAGAAAAGGCTGTGCTGTCTCTGAAGGATCATGGAGGTGTTCTTAGAACCAGTGCAGCTCCTGGATGGTGAGGTACTGACCCTTGTGAGGAATGTCTCTGCTCTACTACGATACGATCAGCATCCCTTGCTGGAGAAGGCAGATCCAGCCACAACAACCCATGCCTTAATCACCTTGTATTTATATGACTGCAATGTGCCCAATCCAGGGTTCACGTCAACATGTTCAAAAAGTGCAGCTAGTGCAAAGCTTGGAGGCCAGACTGTCATCTGGCATGGGTTGGAAAAACCATATAACACTAGGCACAAACCAGATCAGTGTGTTCTTATATGTATCTTAGCCAAATTCAAGCTGATGGTTCTCACGTAGCTTGAGGCCAGTGCATCTGAAAGAGAGCTTCCTCCCATGTGAATGTGGCCAGATCCGGTGTTCATCAGCTGCAGTTCCTTTATGAATCCCACCTTCTAAAGGGGTGAGGTTGTTGGGAACGGACATAGAACCATCTTTGGAGCAGTGCCCAGGACAAATTGCTCATTGGGCTTTTTATTTTTTTAGGGTAGGAATGCGGGGAACTGGCTAGCTAGTATCAGAATGCCTCTGCATAGATTTATATTGTGCCGTCATCTTGAACACTGTACAGTCTGTTCAACTCATTTATTTATTTTTAGGCTGTCCCTTACCATAGTCTTGGGACAGTTTCACAGTAGGACAAAAATAAAATAAAACACAGCATCCTAATCAATTTCTTAACCAGTCCACAATAAAACCCATATTAAAATAACAGTCAAACCTTAAAATATTGGGAAAATAAAACAGTTTTAGGTTTTCCCTATCTTTAAAGGGATATGATAAACCAGGAAGTTACAGAAAGAACATCTTCCCTAAAGAGGGATGAGGAAGGGCACATGTGTTTGGTTTAGAGCAAAGACAGATAAGCGGCATATGAAAGATAGGCATTTATAAAATCAAGGATGTGAATGTGTAGAGACTGGATGGAGAGAATTCTTGCTTTCTCCTCTGACAGTATAACTTCAGTCACCCAGACACATAGATTGTCATTAAATTCAGAATGGACAAAACAAAGCATTTCCTTTCACAGTGCATATTTAATTTATGGATGTCACTGTTGAAAGATTTGATAAATGGGCACAGGTTTAGAACCTTCCAAAGGACAGAATATATTGCCATGATAGCCAAATATTGGTGCCATGTTCAGATGCCATTTGTCATTGAATGCCAGTCACTGCATGGGCAATAGAAAAGGGCTTCCCAGAGACATTTGGCTAACCCCAGTTGGAAGCAGGAGACCAGATTACTCTGACCTTAGTCTGAGCCTGAAAGTTCTTCTTTTAATTTGTTCTCTATCTAAAGCAGAGGTAGGCAACCCATGTGGCTTGGGGGAAGTGTCCTCCACCCCCATCCTCAGGTTTGCAACCCAGAAGACAAAAGATATCAGTTCTTAAGGTTACAACAAACATCTTAGAAAGATAAACTGGAATATCATAAATGGTTGAGACAGAGGAAGCTGATGAAGCTGGTTTCTTGCTTCATAAGGTGGCCCCTGCTTCCCATCTTCCATTTTCATTTATTAGAAAGTGCAGTTGAAGGAAGCTGTGCAAAACTGTATATTTCTGATTTGTTTTGCTTTTAGTGGCAAAGTGGTGAATTAGGGGGTTCTTTTGGAGAGGGGGGTTGTATTTATTTTGTTTTGTTCTTGGTAATTTGGCAGTTTCAAACATTAACTCCCATTAGGTGCCCAGATGCAAAGAAGACCCACTCTTGCATGCTTACTAGTTGTATTCAATGACATCTGCTGAAAGTCCCTTTTCTGCACAACTATGGAGACTGAGGGACCTTGTCCTCTTCAGGGTTGAGCTTCATAAACCCTCCTGACTGTTGGAAGGTGGGCCCTTGAAACTCCCCTTTTCATATCATTTGAAAGTGTTCTTAGAAATCAGTGAAATGCACCACAAAATAGTTACTTTAATTAAAAGAACTCATTACCCAATGAAAACAGCAAGCTTTTAAACCATGAACACCTTATTGCCCTTTAAAAGCGTCACACAAAAGCAAGTACCCCATTTTGACAACTGCTTGCTCTTCAGTCAAAGAGACTTTCTGGCCTTTTCATGTATGTATTCCTTGCTTCCTTAACCTTGGTGTTTCTCCTCCTCTACCCGGGAGAAGGCACTACCTCCCAGGAATGCTTCATGTACAGTATAAGAAATTTTACCATTCTACGTTAGGATCCACTTTGCTGCGTAGGTCGAGTGTGCATTCTTATGAAATAAACTCATCTTTCTCTCTATCATTTCTAGTTCTGGTACTTCGGAGACTGGGTGGATGTGGTGATAGATGACCGACTGCCTTTCCTCAATGGGAAATACTTATCTGTCCATCCGCGCAGCAAAAATGAATTCTGGCCGCCATTGCTTGAAAAAGCTTATGCTAAGTAAATATGCATACAAACTGCTTCTCTTTCTGTTCTGTTTTTATTACTTTATCCTCTTAACAGGGACCACCTGCAGTTATTCTGTGATTCACAGAACTAACAACCATTTGTGACACACCCATTGTTTTGGTGGATACCTGGTCAAAAGGTAGGCAGGAGGTCTTGTCAAAAGGTAAAACCATATTTCCATATTGCTCTCTTGTGGAGCCTGGTGGTTTACACTGAATCCAAACATATTTAATCAACTGAAAGTCCAAGTAAGGTCAATAGGAGAATGTGGGACTGGAACACAGGAGATCTGGGTTCTAGTTCCCACCCAGACATGGATCTCACTGGGTAACTCTGAGTCAGCCACAGGATTTCAGCCCGACCGACCTCGTACGATTGTTGCTGTCAAAATAAGATTGAGAAGGAGGAGAATTATGTAAGCCCCCCCCTTGAGTTCCTTTAAAGGAAAAAAGGTGGAGGATAAATATAAATAAATAAATAATATGTAGAGATTAACAAATATGTCCATTTTAGTTTCTCTCAGTTTCTCATTTTTTTTTTTTTTTTTAAATTCAGTTCACTTCATCTGGATCTTTAAGAATTTCTCTAGTTTTAATTTTGGTTTTTTGCTAACACTGAGTTTTTTTCATGGTTGCATGTAAATTCATTAGAAATTTGAGCACTATTCTCCTAACCTACACATTTTAGCCTAATCTACACATTTTAGCCAGCCATTTTCCTAATATAATGCATACTTGAACATGATTTTCTCTGATACACATGGTCTGCTATGCATTTATTTTTACTGAAGGCCTTCATTGCAAAGTTTAGAAAGAGCGAATTTCAAATTGAATTGTGGTTTGGATATTGGTTTAAACATGCAGAATTAATGATATTTACTGTAAATGTGAATCAAATAAATTACTGTACCATCTCTAGGGACAGAACTACAGTTACTGGGATGGGGTTGGAAAACTTCCTCCATTCTTTTGCTACCAACTGGTTGAATTTGTATTTCTTCTTTGTTTTCAACTTGACTTCTTTTTCTGTCATGTCTATGCCTGTAGCAGCACAAAAGGTACAGCATTACCCTGCCATTAAACATAAAACTCCCCACTCTGCCTCCCCAAAGGAGCCATCCTAGTTCCACTCCATTTCCAACTGGAATCATTTTGGTCCATTTCACATGATGTAAGTTGTTACCATATTTGAGCAGCTCAGAATTCCCAACCCTCTCCAAAGCCATCATTCCTGCCCCTTCAGAATACATAAATAGAGTCCGACAGCAACATGAAAGATCAAACAAAAATCTTAACATACTGTTTTTCTGAGATTAAAATGTACCTTAAATTAGAAAGGGTTAACTCAGGTTCCTCTTCCGTGAACTGCATTTTCCTTGCAGAAAATGGCAGATCGCTATTACATTAAGATAGCAAGAAATGCTGCTTATGAGATTTTCTGCAAGAGGATTTTCCCTTGTGCATAGTTTAATTTTTTTTCTTGTCAATCTAAGCTGGGAACATTATTTTAAAATACAATTAGCCATGGATTTCATTTTCTGAATCTGTGTGTTACTCAGATAATGTGCTTACTGTGTTTTTAATGTTATGTGCTTCTGTTATCTACAATCAGTCCTGATTCATCTCACCCACACCCTTTTTTGTCCTTTTTTGCATTTTTGATCCAAAGCTCAAGATAAGGGAACATGCTACTTATCTGATGAACGCTGAATGACCTGAGCAAAATAAAAATGAAGTAATCTAAGATTAGTGCCCCCGTTATGCATAGATCTGCAGCACTTAATTCCAGTCTTCACTTATATGCTTACTTATCACTGTCAGATCTCCTTCCAGCTGTGGAAATTTGTTTTTAAAACTCAGACAATTGTAAACTTGCAACCGAGGGTCGTGTTTCGGCTTTCATAATGTGCATGATAGAGCAGTAGTGTGCAAAACTCAACATGGGGCAAAAGCCTGCCCAGGGCACACATTCAAGGTTAACTCACACGCGCGCGTGCGCGCGTACACACACACACACAGAACTGCCAAACCAAATGCAAGCAGTGCATATTAAGAGCATCCCTGTGATATAATCTCTATTTCTCTCCACACGTGTCATAAGTGCATGACAGATGGCATTCCTTTGGAAGCAGTGATGGGCTGGGCTGAGGCATTTTGCTTCCCAGGGCAAGGGCGAAGATCCCTGCTCCCCGCCCCATCGGTTCCACAAACAGAACCTGGCAGGACCAGATGCAAGGGGGATGATGGGCTAGGGACTCCTGAGGATAACAGGCTGGTTTCAGAGGGCAGAGTTGGGGGCAGCTGCCCAGCTTGGTCCTCCAGCAGCGGGAAATGACTGGGAAGCTCAGAGGAAAGGCCACTAGCACTGCCACAGTTGCCTTTCTCCTGGCCTTCAGCACCCGCCTCCTGGAGTGCCAAACGATGGTCTCTTTGGTATGTGCTTCAGGCACTCTTTTTTTTCCTCATTACTTTTATTTTGCTTTATTTGGCACTTCAACAAAATAAAAAATGGGGGAACCACAATCAGCAGCAAAAGCATAACAAACATGTACAGTAGACTCTCAGTTATCCGTCACCCATGGGGAATGGTGGATGCCGGATAAACATATTTCTGGTTGCTTGAGAGTTTCTATTAAAAATAGGCCTAACTAATAGTATAGCCCATACTATACCATACCACTAACTCTGAATTGACTTGATATTAATATTGAAATACAAAGCAAATTAAGACAAATACAAACTCCTGAGACTGAGCCTTAATGTCATAAATAGATGACGAACCCACATTAAATACCTCCATGAGCACTGCACAACTCACCTTCCTCAAGCCTCTTGCATATTTCCATCTTCTGCTTGAGGGTAAGCACTGTGTGTTTACACTAACCTGGGACCCATTTCTGCATACTTGGGGTTGGGTGAGAACACAACATTTCAACAATAGATCCCAACCAACCGGCATGTTTACACACAGAGAATTGGCAGGATGGGGAGACAAACAGGCGGTGTGTGAAGTGTGGGTTTACTCACGGTGCACCATGCCAAGTTTAGACTTACATTTCCAGTAGAAATTGATTTTATTTTAATTTTTGTTTGAAGTATTGTTTCTTCGATTTTTTGTCAGTTTCTTGAGAGTGCCGGTTGCTTGAGTTCCAGTTAGCTGAGAGTCTACTGTATATCTATTTACAATAACTATTCACATCACGATTCATTAAAAAAAATCAGTATTTCCGTTTCAAACTAGTTCCTTATATAAGAAGCCCACATATCTAAATAAGCATTGAGATGAACCTGGTGATAGTAGAATATGCATCCAAATGCAGTGAGAAAAATAAGACCACTTCAGGTGGGTAAGTTTCAGCCTTCCAGGATTGATGTACGGGTCTCTTTGCAACTCTTAGGGCTCTCAAAAGTCCACTTATATTGTCCTGTTAACTCCCACATTAAAGGAATATAATTTACAAATGCAGAACCATTCACAATGACCACAGATGTTTCAAGATCAAAATTTATACAGAATTAGTTTAATAATGATTAATAATTAAAGTAAATTTAATTATATTCATATTTAATTTACATCATAACCATAATCATACACTAGATCTTCAAAATCTGTGAGATAGCTGAAGACAGAGGACTAATCACATGTGGTCTGAAGCAGCAGTAAGTGAAAGGTCAGGTGGGAAGCCCTGTGTCTGTTTCCCTGTACCTGCTCCGTCAGGGCAAGAAAGCTGCAAAATTGTCCCCCTTTTAAAGGATAAAGTGGCAGTGATGCATTTTCCTTCGGTTTTTGTCTGCTTCTGCACCTCCTCTTCCTCTTTGTATATTTTCTCTTTGGTTCATATCTTCCAGGATTTTTTATTTTGATTTTTAACAGATCAAGGGCAAAGTAAAAGGGGTAGGGAGTTCAAATGTTTGAATGAGTTCTAGGTGAAATCTGGAGAACTTCCACAAGCGCAGGATCTGCTTATTTATATTTCTCTAGCTTAGCACCATGACTTCTGGAAACACAGGTTCAAACTGTTCCTAGCCATCAAACCTCCCTTATGACATGTTATAGATGGATATTTCATTTCCCTTCTTTCACTCGCACTGCTCAACCTGAACCACTTCTGTTGTCTTCCAGGTTGCGTGGTTCCTATCGGAATTTGCACTGGGGCTACATTTCAGAGGCTTTAGTGGATTTCACTGGTGGAGTTGAGGAGTCTTTTGACCTCAAGAGGCCCTGTTCCTTTCTACATGAGATGCTGAAACATGCTGCTGAGTCAGGATGTCTTATGGGATGCACCACTCCCAATGCAGTAAGTCAAGATTTATGTACTTACATAAATCACACTGCCAACTAGCCAGATGGACAGGGCAATGTGCAGTAAAAGTATCATTGAAAGTTATTGCAAAATAACACAGGAACACACAAGAAGCACAGGAACAAAAACCAATGTTGTTCTTACTTGTCTTTCTTTCCAACTTGTGGTGACCTTTGAATAACTGCCCTCTAAAAGATCCTATTTTTGACAGTCCTGATCAGCTCTTAAGATCTCAGGGCTGTGGCTTCCTTTATGGAGTCAGCCCAGCGCACATCTGGTCTTCTTTTTTCTTCTGCCTCCATCTTTCCTTAGTATTACCGTCTCATGCAATAATCTGTTTTAATACTGTTTTATACTGCAATAATCTGTTTTAATAATCTGGCTTAATCTGTTCTAGCAACCACTTGTTCATTTTTCTTTCAGTCCTGGGTATTAGCAAAGTTTTGAGTGCATCCATTTTCTTCCTGTCAACTTTCTTCACTGACCAACTTTCTCAGCCATAGAAGTGATCAGAAATACAGTAGTATGGATGATCTTGTCCTTGCACTTGGCAATCTTTTCAAGTTCTTTCATTGCTTCAAGGCTCAGTCATCTTCTAATTCCTTAGCTGTAGTCCCCATCTGAAATAATGATTGAGTCAAGGTATGAAAAAAAATTCATGATTTCCATTTTTTCAAACCCATTTCTATGATTTCCATTTTTTTTCCAAACAAAAATAGAGTCCCGCCTTCCAAATCAACCTGCCTATTCTTGAAGTTGTATAGTTCAGGATCCACTGAATGTTCCATCTCCAGTACATGTACAGTTGATGGCAACCAGGGGAAGAGTCTTTTCAGTCCACACCTGGATTTCTATTTCCCCCTGTAATAATAGCAATCACCAGCCTGCTGCTATTTGGTTATCTACTAATAATGTGTTAAACATGCATGTCAGGAATTTGTATCTTACATGTCAGGCAACAATGAGAAGCATTTTGGGTGAAGCCCTTTGCATGTTTGGAGAGACACTGCTGAGACTAAATATCCATAGGATTGCACTTTTCATTACAGAAAAATATTACAGGGAAAAAGCAGTTTGCTATGAAAATTTGTAAAAGTCTCATGGTTAAACAGCTCAGATTAAAAGGTTTGGAAGATCTTGGCCTGGCACTGGTCTTCCTGTGGAAAACATTCTGCAATTAAGGTGTCACTACTGAGAAATTATCCAGGAACAACCCACCTTGCTTCTGATGACAGGAGAACCTGGAAAAAGGCTTTTAACAAAGACGTTCATATATGGACATGCAATCACAGGCAGGTACTTTGAGCCCCAGGCATGAAGAGCTGTTGTGGTAAAAAAAAAAGCACTTTTAAGTTGGAGTGCTTGGAGTGGCAATCAGTGATGTTAGTCAAGAACTCGTCTAATATAAAAACAGCACAGATATGGACGTCCTTTTGGTAAGTGGATTACTGGACTTGGGTAAGGAATGCAGCCTATCTGCACTGCACTGCACTGCACTGGACTTCCACTCTTTCTGAATATTAGTTTCATAGTTTGGAGTGCTCAATTGATTCAACACTTCAGCACGGCTGCAAGGAGCATCTTTTTCCAGCAGCGGCTGGCTCACCAGGTATGAGCGTTTCCAGTCAAGGCAGACCTTGCCACAGTCAGTCCTGCCTTAGTTAGCTCTGATCAGACTGCCGTGGCCTGCTGTTCATGCCACTGCCCTTGAAAAGAGGCTTGAAACTAATCACAGCAAGAGGCTGCCTGGTAGAAGCATTTTGACCATGCTATGCCACACTGTGCCTGTTTTCGCTGAACTGCACTGGCTGCCAGTTTGCTTCTGGGTACATTTGATTCAGAACAGAAGTGCCAATCATGGGACAAGCCTACTTTGCAAAGCACTTTGTAACAGATTTATCAGGCCCCAGCACTGCACTCTTTTCAATGGTACATAAAAACTGCTCAAAAAAGGCAGCTGATTAAAAGTTTTAATAACAGGTGGGTGGGGGTGGGGAGGAGGGAAGCCCTAATGGCAACTGTTATTTCACACATGGTTGCGTTATTCATTTGTATTGTTAAGGCTGTTCTTTAAATAAAGAATGGTAAGCTATACTCTTAAATTTTGCTGGGTTTTGTTTGTGTTCCGCCTTGAATGTCCTCTCTGGGAAAGAGGTGAAATAAATAATACCTACAGGGGTTTTTTTTACAGTTAAAATAATTCATAAAGAAATAATATCTACCAAAATAAGCAGTGACAACATATCCTACGCAGATCCCCTATCAAGTTGCAGCAACAAACACATTAAAGTCCCCTTCTTACGCAGCCCAAATCCAGAGAGCAGCTGAATCCAGGAGCCATGGTGCTTTGCTGATGTGCCTGGAGTCATACTGTGGTTTTGTCCCAAGCGACATATCATACGACCATTCTAAGGCAACATGGAAGCTGGATTGTGTTTCCCAGCCACCCCCTCATCTCCATGAGTTTCTGGAGGAGGGCCTCAACCATTTTCTCAACAGGCAGAACTTTACTTGTTTTGTTCTAACGCTGCTTCCAATCGCTTCCAACAAATCTCCCAAGAGTTTGCAAGAGCTGAACACCTACTGCCAATACACAGATACAGGGAAATGGCATAAGCATCATCATGTGTGACCTATTATCTGAACTCATAGCGATGTGCTTGCAGAGGACCTTTGGGCCTCCGCGAAGTGTACCTATCCCCATTAACCCATGTTTGGGCCCTGCAGTCCACTCACTCAGGACACCTCTTTTTTCCTGCTTGTGCTGCGCTAGACAGCAAAGTTTGGAGATTCCCAAGCTTCTAGCTGGGCATGATCCACAGCTATTGAGCTAACTTTAGCTTGAACCTGTCTAAAGACAGCTGTGGCCAAGCTCCTGTTATAGAAGGAGTTCTATTTTCCTCTCATCAGATAAACTGCACAGTTAGTGGTTAGGTGTCCTACTTTCCACTGGATCAACCTCTGTTTTAGACAGCTCCAGAAGATAGTCCTCTATTTGAAGACATGTCCAGCTGAAGTTTGGTTGGAAGAGAAGGACCAAAAAAGAAGAGCACCACGGGCCTTAAGTTCCTCTAAGAGTTAGTGTCTGCCCAGCAAACTGAACCAGCACACCAGTCACTTAGTCTTTTCCACTGGGGTGAAATGTATTGTATTTGTATTTAAATTGTAGTGATGATTTCTGCATATGTACCTACACATATAAAATTGCATGTGCAAATACTATGCAAATTGGGGCCCTTTTTTGGTCTCCTTTTTGGCAATGTGTAAGTGACCATCCAATTGGCACAGATGTAATTGTGTTTGTGAGTGCTTTCAGAGGGGTCCTGACTGCCCTTTCCCCTTTCAGAGGTCCAGAAATAACATTGAGTTGAAGAATGGAATCGTGCTAGGTCATGTTTACACCATTGTATGGGCCACAGAGGTAAAAAAGTGAACATACCTCTCCTTTCTTCTTTCCTTCCTTCCTTTTCTCCTAACTGGATCCTGGCTGCTGCTGCCTATCTCTATTTTTGTAGAGTCATTGCTTTTAGGACCAGAAGGTAAAATTATGTCAATCTCATCTAGGTATCCCTGCGTCACAGAGATCACATAATTTTATTCGTGCCTTTTTGAAAACCTGGAGATGATATGGAAAAGTACAAGGATGATAAAGTTAGCAAAGTGACTCATTCAGCTAGTCACTTTTCAGCAAAGTATCAGGAGTGATGAAACTTGGAGATCGTAATTAATACTCATTGGTTCAGCCATGGATGCTAAAGAAGATAACTTGGTCCTAGAAAAGAGGCCCCAGGCGAGTTTTAAGAGTCCAGAGCAAATTAAAAGAATGGAAACTTCAGCAGGTTCAATCTGTAGAGTTAATTTAATTTAGATGTATAAACACTCCATTCTGGAGCAAAACTGATTACATTAAATGCAGTAAGAGCCTGTTAACATTTCAAGGTCCTCTTTCCATGTCAGAGATGTGAAAGGTCATATAGCAGAGATATTGTGTTGCAAGCCAGTTAGAGATTTGAAGAGGTTAGCAAAGACTTCATGGGATGGCTGAGGGTTCAGGGAGAAGGAGCAGGTCAGCCTTTATTGAGGAAAGGTCAAAGGAGAAGGAGCTGCCAAGAGGAGAAACAGATTCATAGCTCTAATCAAAGAAAAAGAAATCCTAGCAAGGAGGACATCTTGCAAGATTTCTTGAAATGAATCCCAGAAGCATTTTCTGATTTTATGTGTGAATGTAAAACCCGCCTGCATCCTTGGCTGTTTCTTCTGCAAAAACAAGGGCCAGGCACTCATACAGAGAGCCAGTGTGGTATGGGAGTCAAAAGTGCAGAACTGGGACTCAGGAGCTCTGGGTTCTAGTCTCCATTCAACCAAGGAGCTCAACAGGTGACTTTGGGCAAGTCTCAGTCCATCCTATCTCACAGGGTTGTTGTGAGGATAAGATGGAGAGGAGGAAGAGAATGATGTAAGCTGCCCTGAGTTCTTTGGAAGGACAAAAGACGGGATATACATATAATTAATAAATAATACATCAATAATAATGAGAAGGACATTGAAAGGAAATTCAGGCCTCATCCGTAGAGACACACTGTTGCTCCAGTGGAAGTTCCACTGCCACTCAAGAGTCAAGGCATGCAATCCTCTTGACAGAGCTGAACAAATGGACTCAGGCATCCATCTAGTCAAGCACGGTTTTCACTCGGTGGCCAACCAGCTGCCGGATGGGGATGCGCAAGCAGTCGGAAGCGCAAGTGCACCTTCCGCTCGTGCTCTCTAGCAACTGGTGCAAGGCCACTGGTCTGCCAGGCCCCATAAAAGGAGGCATTTAGGAAGGCCCTAAAATCCTTCTACTTTACTCTGGCCTTCTCCAATGATATTTTATCAGTCTGGCTTGTAGTCATAGTTGTATGTGCAAGGTTTTATTTTATGCCACCATTTGTTTCTTATTGTATCAGTTTTGATTATGTGAGCTTTATAGTTGCAAGGTTTTTATTGATTTTCTTGCTGTATCAGTTTTTATCACATGAGTTTTATGGCGTTATGTCACCCTGGAGACTTTCTGCCCTAAAAGGCAGCCAAGAATATTTTAAATAGAAAAGAATGAGAATAAAATATTTTAGTAATGTAAAATGACACAAATATATACAAGGGCATTTGATCCTGGAGGCATCATGACCAAGAGCCATTCATAGCTTTATCCTTCATGAATTTGTCTAGTCCGCGCACCAAACTGTGGTCGTTTTTACAGCTCGTGGCAGTAATTTTCATAGTTTGGCTATGTGCTGCATGTCACAAACCATCATGAAGTGAATGAGAAAGCATCGTGAAGTGCGCCACACTGACATACAAGGGGGGGGGGCCCAAAAAAACCCAGGAATTATCCTCTGGAAGGCAGGATCCGTGTGGTACAGGCTTCCCCTGCTAGGTGAGTGTTGTAGGAACCCATCTGCATCAATGCATCCAGCTGGATTTTTTGTGAGAGGCTGCATTCAGCTTCAGTGAGGTTTTTTCTTGGAAAATTTTGCCTGTATCGTGGTGGCTGATTTATACAAACAGCGTGAGGCGGTAAAATTTTGTTCAGCTGAGAGTTCAACAGTTTTTGACCAAAACCAGCGTGACCCTTGTGCCCCACCCTCCCTATCCACCCGATCTTGCCCCATGCAATTTTTTTTGGTTTCCCTGGATGAAAAAACTCTTCAAAAGGAAATGTTTTGCTGATGTGGAAGAGGTGAAACCAGAAACGTCAGAAGCTCTGAAAGGCATCAACATTGACACATTCAAAACCTGTTTTGAGCAGTGGAAAAAACTTCTCGATAGGTGTACTGCATCAAAGGGAGAGTACTTTGAAGGTGACTGAAGTTTGAACATGTAAAAATAAATACATGTTTTTTTAATAAATAAATTCCTGGGGTTTTGGGGTCCCACCTCATATGTGCAAAAACTTATAGGTTTGCACTACACACTACCTGGAAATGCTTTGTGTCTACTCAAGTGCAGGGTCAAGAGTTCAGGGCTGGATGAAGAAGTCATTTTCTTTACCTACCATGTTTATCCTTTCCAAGCATAAGCCCTTCCTTTGCCTAAATATTAATATGATCTTCTGCAGAGGGAGATCAATGTGGTAGAAAGAAATAATCCAGCAATCACAAGAGAAAGCCAAGGATTTACTGCAGTTAAGTGGTTCTGCTTTCAGGATAAGGGTAACTTATCCCCACAGAACCATTGGTTATGATGCTCACATCCACTGTGACAAAAGAGCGGGCCAGATGGACAAAGACCTTCACTAATCCTCTGGCATTCCTACCTTCAACAGCAGGAAGAATACTCACAAATATGTGTCTGTTTGGGTAATTCAAGCTCTCTGTCAGGAACTTGGTGGTAGGAATACTTTTTTACATCCCAACTGAAGGTCATTCCATTCAGATATTTTGAACTTCTGAATTACTATGTGGATATCCCCTCTTTGAAGGAACAGCTCCAGGCCTGTAGGGATCCTTGGCAAAAAACCCCTTTGGGGGCTCCCTCCTATGCTGGCAGGCTAAGTAGGTGGCAGTAGTTACTAGCAATGGAAGCATGAGCCCTGGCTTGGAGCTGCACTTTAATTTCCCACAATTCTGCAGAGTGATGTATATCAAGGCATTTTGGTATATGAAAATGGAGATGATTTTTGCCCTGTTTTCACATCAGTTTGCAGTTTTGTGTGCATTTCCCCAAGATTAGACTTAATTTTGTCAAGTATAAACATGTTTGCAAGCAATTTATTCTAAAATGGTGTGTTTTGAATGCTTTTTTACTAATGTACACATTTCATGTGCACTTTCCCCCATGGAATCCATTTTTAAACATTCTTTGATTGAAGAACTGCTCCACAAAATTCGTAGGGAGAGGAATATTCAGATGTAGTTGTCTTCTGGATTGTGAAAGGGCTTGAGAAGTGTGAACTAGAAAAGTCTAGATAAGAATTTGAACAAAAAGAATTTTCCCCATCCTTAAGGAAATGTCAGTGTCAGTGTGAACTGTGCCCCCAACAGCTACTCAGGAGTTCACACACCTACAACAACATTAAGTACACATGTACCTAAGTACTCTGCTCCATGTGAGAATGAACTGGGAAAAGGTATGAAATGGAGAAGCTTCTTGGTGTTTGTGCTGAGCATTCCCTGGAAGTAGAAGCAAATATTCCAGTGCTGTGCAGGAAAGGTTATGCAGATTGTTACACTGAGGGACCAGTCTTGAGGCCCCTAGACAGTACCCGAAGGTCCTTTTTAGATTCCCCAATCTGAGATCAGAGATAGTGCTATGACCACAGAGCGGGCAACCGGAGCTCCAGTCCCCTTCCCTTGCAGCCAGCATGGAAAGCGCTGTGCGGATTTCAGAGAGAGGAAAAGGGGGATATTCCGGTTAGTGGGGAGAAGGGAATTGAACAGGCTAGCTTATGATGTATCTTGCAGCCTCTCCAGTCCCCCCATGCCCCCAAATTCCCAACTATTAGTATAATTGGTATTATTGTTAATTTTGTTTATATCCTTCCCAATAGCTGAAAAACTCTGAGCAGTTTGCAACAGGTCATTAAAAATACAATAAAAGACTATAGAATCTTTCCAAAATGCAAATATTTAAAAAAAGCTAAAGCAACATAGGATGAAAACTAGTCCTGTAAAACTGCCTGGAGTGATGTTCCCCTTACATTTGAGCCCTTGAATATCCCTGTATATCTTTCAATGGGGGAAAAACTATATGGGAAAAAGCCTATTGAGTGAAATGTGCAGAGCAGGAGGAAGGGGAGGTGAAGATTGCCTCTTTGCTCCTCTCAGTCATCATGAGATACTGTAAGTGCCCAACTCCAAGGCTTATAGACATCACAATAGGATTGTGCCCACAATAGAATTATTATGAGTTAATCTATCATTATTACAATTATATTGCAAAGCCTTTTTGTGAAGCAACGTTTGGGTGAAGAAGATGACACATTAACAGTTACATAGTGCTGTGTGCAGGAGCGATACCGGCTCACAGGATCTGACAATTTTTATACCTGAAAAAGGTACAAACCTCACTATCATTTTGAATTACAAATGAATGGAATCCTGAAGACAAAGCACTCTCCACTCGTCTATGAGATTAGCCCAGATTTCCCCTGTGGGTGAAACCATTGTTGCATGAGAAGACATCTGCTCACACAGCAGGGCTTCACCCATCTTTTCACCTTCTGCCCCCTAATTTTTCTGAAGGGTCCCACAACCATCTGCAACAGATTCTGGTGCAGAGGATTATAGGGAAGGGAGGAGCACCCTCCCCATCCTGCCAGCACAGGGGTGGTTAAACTTCTTTCAGCTTAATGACCAAATTTAATTTCACTCTTGGGGCAGGGGGAGTCATTCTAGTGAAGTTGGGCCAAAGGTTAAAGGAACAGGACCAAAATACCCAGCATATATTACCCTCAAGCTCTTAGTGCTGGTACCTGAGCCTAGTAGCTGAGAGAGGCATTTCAGCCCTTTAAAACGAGGGGGAAACGGTGCAGACGCCATGACTGTTGCTGGTGGAAAGGAGACGGAGCCTGAGGAAGGGAAGGGATGCTGAGGAGCCCGGAAGAGCTAAGCTAATGCCTGGCGGCAGGCTTGAGGTCCAATAACCCTGAGCTAACGAGCACGATTATGTCAGTGGGAAGGGTTAATGTGAAACCACTCCATCTAATCTGTTGCACAAAGCAGATTTCTCAGGAACTGGGCTCTGTGGGGGCACAGCTGGTGGGTATGGCAAAAAGCGTCAGATTGGCTGCATACGTTGCTGCAGGCTTTCTTTGTGCATTGCCCAGTTTGCTCTAAATGTTGTCCATTCAGTATCACAACGGGGTGAATGCATGCTGAGGAGGGGGCAGGCGAACGGCTGACTTGGCCCTAAGAACGGAGAATACCTTTTATGACTCTTGTTCCAAAAAGGGATATCCTAACATCTTTGCTTGCTTTATTTGTAGCACACTTAATTCCTATGCCATTGTCTATTATTAAAGGTGTGAGTGTGTGTGTGTTTGTGTGTGGGGGGGGGGGGGGGATAAAATATCAGGGACTTAAATAAACTATGGGATTTTGTAATGACTAAATACCCATGGGATCCACTGGAAATCAATACTAGAGCTGTGTGCAGACATTCCCTTGAAAATTTTGGCCTATTTATTGGCAGAGAAATTGACTGTGTGTGTGTGTGTGTGCGTGTGTGTGTGTGATTTTCACTGACTCTCTCAAGGGAAGTAAAAATTCTCAAACTCTTTTATGGGCTGGAGTTCACTGTTAGCTGTGCTGGTAGCCAGTTTCATTTTTCCTCAGGGCTTGGGGTTTTGTGCTGCCATTATTAATGGCAACTTCAACAAACATCAGGGCAGCCTGGTCACCATTTTACATCCTTCACCGCATCGTTGGCCTTTCCAAGGCATTGTGGGGGAGTTGAGGGCGACAGGAGGAAGTGGACTTCCACAGAACTGGTGGAGAAATTTCTTTGCAGCTTCCTAGGCTGCTTGTTTTTTCTGATCTGGAAAAAAATCCCACAAAACCTGTGGGAGGAATTAATTCATGACGTCTCCCCTGGACTTTAAGAGGAGTGGGGAAAGCTAACGATAGTGCAGGGTAGCCCCCTTTCACACACTCTTTGACGACCTCAAAGGTAAGGTGAGCGCAAGAACAACCCACCTCATGCATTATTTCTGAATTGTTTTTCTCTTCTGGATTTCTTTTTTCAAGAAGCTTCTCTTCTACAAATTGAATAAGAATGAAAACAATGTGAACGAGATTTTCAGAACAGCATTGCCAGGTAGTGTCAGATGGAAAATACACACCAAGACCATATAGATCGCACTTGTTTGGACATTAGAGACCGAGGTAGAGAGAGATGTGTTAGTGTCACACTGTGAAGAGAATCTGGAAGTCAGTGATTATGTTCCCAGGTTGACAAAACTCTTAAGATTTATGGCCCATCTGCCTCAGAACTAGTCATGTTTTCATTTTATTCACAACTGGAAATACAGAGAGCAATTGCTTCTAAAAGAACCTACCGTATCCTTTGCAGGCACGGACGCTGCTCCCTCCTTTCTGTGCAGACTATTCAACCTATATGAGCATCTTAATTTCCTAACTGTGTATATATGGGGCCTGAAGGGACCCAGGGAATGGAATGCTCATATCTGAGCTCAACACATGCTTTCATGAACCTGGCCAGATTTTCTGGCTTCTGTTCTAAGCACATTAAGTCACTGTCTCAAGTGAGGGAATAACATCCATAAGAATGATAAAAAGAATAATAGTATGGTCTAAGATCTGCTTTTCATGCATAAAACAGTTCCCACTTCTTGAGGGTGCCTCGGTGTGCTCAGGGATCCTGGCTTTCCCACTCCCCACAGCATAGCTCTCTGTGCAGCATTTTCATGGGACTCAGAGGGTCACTGTGGGAAGGAGGAGTAGAAAAATGTACTTCTGCCAACTCAGTTGCCCATGCCTCAATCTGTGTCCAACCCTATATGTATTCATTTAGCACTTCAGGATGCTCAAAGGGTTTTGCACAGTACAGCAGTGTGCCATTATCTCCAGACGTACATCATTATTCTTCATACATTCCTTTGGTTCTTTGCTTTACTGCTTTTCATGTGCTTCTTTCCCTGTGTGCTGCAATGAAAATGCATTGGCTTCTTCCCTATGAACAGTAGTGATTTGTCAATTTCTGGTTCACCCCATTTCCTTTTTTTCTAACCTTATGCCTATTTCATCCATTTCTGCATTTGTGTACTTTAAAAAAGGGAATTTTTTTAAAACCACATGAAAATTCATACATATTTTCTATGCATTGTTCCCAGTATATGCCATTATGTATACCCTTTTCCCAAATATATCCCTATATTTCTTCATGTATTCTTTTTTGCAATCAACTCTCCCTAGTATAATGTGTTTTTGTCTGTTATTTTCATTAATTTATGCACTTCTGTGTGCATTTCCCCCCTTTTAATTGAAAAAAATGTTTTGCAAAATTTGTAAACATGCAAATATTGACGTCTAACTGCTTTTGGGTTGCTGTGCTGGCTTCAGAAATGAGGACTTGGTAAGTTTGTATTAAAATGCACAGCAAGCTAATACCTCCCCATTCCCTAGTGCAGCGTTAGGCTGCTTATATGTCACTGAAGGCAATGGGATTTAAGCAAGGCCACTGCATGAAGGACCTCATCCATCACTCTTTAGCTGCTGATAGTCAAGAACAGGAGCAAAAGTTTAATCTCCAAAGTATAAAAGCAAATGCATCTACATGCCATTTTTTCTGGATGGAACAACCCAGGCATGCAAAGTTGTGACTGTGACTTTTTCTTTCCTCTTTCTGGATAGGTTCCCTACATGGAAGGGACAGAATATTTAATCAGGATTTGGAATCCTTGGGGCCATGGGGAATGGAATGGAGCTTGGAGTGATGGGTAAAACTTTAAAGATTTTCTACCATAAGGAGAAGGAATCCTTTGAATCTTGGTGTGAGGATGCTCTTTCAAAAGCCAGTATACAGGATCTTAGTATAATAATGCCATTGTAAGGGCTAATCAGCTAATCTAGCAGCTGCCATTTCAAGCTCTTTGTTTCAGGACTATGTATCCAAAATCACCTGCATTCCACTTTTGTTTATTCAGATTAAACTGATCTCTCACTCCCTTTATCTCACTCTCTGAATCTAATTATTGTTGTAAATAATTCCAATTTAGACCAAATGGCTATCTTCTAATTTATTGGTTTGACTTCTGTTAGCTATCTCTGTGCTGGCCTTCTGAACCTGGGTCCCTCCAGTTATTTTGACCTGTGACTTCCATCAGGCCCAACCAGCATGGCCAGTGGTCGGGGATGATGGGAACTGGGGTAGATCCAGCTTAGAAAAGGCTGATCTGTAGGTTACTGTTCAGTGCTGTGGCTGCAGCTACAGCAGCAACGATCTTCTTGGTCGTAAATTACTCAGTGTGAGGGGGGCACCCAAAACATCATCCCCAGTGCTGCAAATGCCACCATCAATGCCAGAAGCAGTGGCACAGAGCTCCATGTTAAACTATGGTGGAGAGGCTGCTGCCATCGCTATCTGCCATCCAATAAGCGACCGCCCCTCTGCTGCTGAAAATATCTGAAAAAAATCAGACACCTATCTCTAAATTGACTCCCATCCCATTTGGGAGCCCAGATATTTCGCTCCAGCATGGCTAAAAACTCAATTTTGGTGGCTAATGGTCCCATCCAAGATTTGGGCAATGAAGGCAAGACTCACTGGAAAAGACAATCGTGAAAGTCAAATGCAGTAGAAGGAAAGAAAGATAAAAAAAGAGATGAATTGACTCCATAAAAGAAGCCACAGTCTTGAATTTAGAACAGCTAAGCAGGGATGTCAAGGGTAGGACATTTTGGAGGGCTTTTGCTATCAAGTCATTGCTCAAGTTGGCAATGACTTGACAGCACATAACAACAACAAATCTTCTTTCACTTGTACTGTAGCCCATTCATTCTGTAGACTCAAGAAGAATTCACAAGCATGGATTTACTGGAATCGGGAGACCTAAGAGAACCTGATGTTTTATGCCTCGTAATTTTGCAGTAACGCACTGTATAGAAAACAGAGAACGATGCTCCTGGACTGTAAACTGTACAGGCGACTTTTTGTATTACTGCTTCGTGTACCGTACCATTTTCTTGTTACTCCTTCATGTTCTCATGTAGACATGTTCTGTGCTCAGCTAATGGCCTTCAGAACCTGGATCCCTCCAGTTATTTTGACCTGTGACTTCCACCAGTCCCAACCAGCATGGCCAATGGTCAGGGATGATCAAACCTGTTTGTACAAAGGTCCCTATTTGTGCAAAGCTGAACCTGTTTATTCAAGGCCCCCGTTTGTACGACGCTGAAGTCTAAGCTGCGTGCAGATGAAATGCTGGGAAAGCAGTTTATGTTGTGTGGATCGATGCAATACATACTCACTTACTGCTGTGAAGACAATGTAATTATCACTTAACTATAAAACTGGGAATTAACATGGCTGCAATGTCAGTGTAGTGGGATTGCTGCAGTTAGGGAATCAAATAGTTATTTCCTTATTAAATGTGTCATCTGAGATTCCTGAAACCAATGAGAAGTTTCACACTTATTTCAGCTGTGTCCCAGTTGCATTCCAAGCATCCCAGTAATGTGCATATTCAGGATCCAAGAAAGGACTGTCAATTCTTTTTTCACATGCCATATATGTGACCACTGCTATATGTCCTTTTATGAGTTCCTTCTTTATTGCCTCTAATACCATAATTTGGGGAATTAATTGAACTCCACATCCTATTATTTCTCTAATACTTTTTACCATGTCTGATTAATATGTTTTAATCCAAAAACATTCCAATCAAATATGGGCAAATGTACTCCCTCCCCCTTCTCCAGCATCTGGTATGCACTCTTGAAATGTTTGCAGGTGTATAATACAATTTATTTGACATTTCAGAGACCTTATACTTTGAAGCAATATACACCGAAAAAGAAATTGTTTATTACACACACACACACACACACACACACACACACACACACACACACACATATATATGCATGCCCAGACTCTGTCCATTATTCTGATATCATCATCATTATCATCTATTCAATTTATATTCAACATTAAATTAGTCCAAAGAGTCTCTAAGCGGATTACAGAAGCAGATTATATTATCTCTCTCTCCCAATTTTGTTTCAAAATATCTTTCCTATGTTTTCAGTAAAATCTTAGATATCACTGATAATGCCCCTTTCTTTCTTGAATCTTTTTCAGTGGGGTTAATGTCCTATTCATAATTACACCTCTTGTAGTGCTTTGAATATAGTTTCTAATGCATAAAGAATAATACCATGATAATTGATCATTAGGATGTAACATGACATCCTATTATTCCTTGAGAGTTTTTTTAAAATCCAGGTACCAAAATCTTCTAATTCTCTTGCTTTTTTAAACCTGCATTTAATTATTACTAATACTGTAAAGGAAATTTGTATGGCTAATATCAGTATATCTTCATAATTTTGTAATTATACCTGATTTCATTGGACTGGGATACCATTCTTTCCTGGCAGCTTCCCCATATAATTTCTGGTAAGAGTACTCACCCTTCCTGTTCCAGCATCAGCAGTGGATGTGAAGCCACTGCATTAATGCCTCCAATACTGAAGCATGGTAATAATATATAATATTTGCCAATGCATATTTGCTGCTGTGTGATGTTTGCCTTGAATCTGGGAGATTTATGCTTCCATATAAATTCATTGAGTTTCTGCCACCCCCCCTCCCATTGCAGGTGCATTTGCATTTTGTTGTAGTGCGATCAAATGAGACCACTGGACAAGAAGTTTGGAGAGTTGAAGGGTCCTTTATTATACCTGCGCAGGGACCAACACTCTGAGACGAGTGCGGTCCCTGGTATTGGGATGGTACAGTTTTTATACATTTTCTACCCGGATGTACTTGGCGCTAACCGTTACTCTGTACGCCCGTGGGAGAATTACAAGCGGTTTAAGCAAGCAAGCATGAAGTACAGAAGCTCAAGGGTTTTGCGGTTACTTTCTGCTTTAGCAAGCTCATTGTTGCATGCCATTGCGTACGACTTAGAGATGTACTGACAAACTTTAACCAGGGTGAGGAATGTCCTGTTGTCAATCTTGCAATGACTTACAATCCAGTCACATAATTAAGTGTGTGTGTGAAGGGGAGTAAACCTACTTCCTGCTGCTAGTCCTGCTGCTAGTCCTGCTGCATGTAGTAGCGTGTTCAGTGTTGCATACCCATGCTTTCCTAGCACGTAGCCATTTCCTGTTATTGTGAGAGCATGAGACCACTTGTTATTGTGCTCAACGAACTGGCCCCACCTTGGTTCAGGTCTATCGGACACAACATATTTCTCACATGTACAATTCTACCCGTAGGTGTAGTTCCACCAACTGATTTCTCCCAATTATTTTGTCAAGAAGTTCCTCCTTCTGAGGTTCCTCCTTTGCACATTAAAAGCCACAGACCTTTTCCTTGCAAAGTGTCCTTTATTGACCAAAAAGCACAAAACACCTGGAATGAATCTGAGCACGCACAGAGCAGTTTGTTGAACCCAATCTAACATTCACCTCCAGGAACAATCCTTAAGATCATGCCCAGGCCCCAGCCCTTTGGGAGGGGCCTTCTGAAAGCGAGCATGCCTCCTCACTGCACACCAGTCCTCTAATTGGGCCACGCTCCTCTGCAGACGATGCATCATGGAGACGAGAGTTGTGTCCTCCTCATCTGAGAAACTCTCCTGTTCCAAGTCCCTTCCTGCCAACTGTATGTCCTGGTTGTTCCCAGAAACTGCCTACCCACCTGGGAAATCTGGCCTTGAGATGAGCGTCTCCGCTTCTCTCATCTCAGTGTCTCGAGATGGCCCAGATTCCCTGGCCTCCTCCTGTTCTCCTCCTCCTTCTGTTTCTGGTTCTTATGAAGCCTAGCCAGCAACCCTTGAGAACAAGTGTCCAAAGCAACCATTTTTTTACTCCCAACATATTTTATGGCAGAAAAGTGAGCATCTCATTAAGTCTATCTTCCCCTGCAATTGTCTTTGCAATTTAATTTGACATGTCAGACTAGGTCACCTCCTAGTGAGCCAGCCTGTTCTGCCTAGACTCCTGAGCTGGCCCAGGATAGTTTTTGCCTGAGAAGCATCAGCAAATGCCTATTCCTTATCAAGTCACAACGCAGAGTACCCAAAACTGGTTGAGGATATGTGTGTGTGTTTTTAAACATCTAGGAGAGAAAATTCCACAAGCTCTTCACCCCATCCCTGGAAGTTTTTAAAAAAAGCATTTCAAAACTATTTGCCACCTTTTCATGAGACCCTAAATCTGCTGCCTGAACAGCCTATCTCACTCTTTCTAATAGGAGGGCCAGCCCTGTCAGGCAACCTGGTCTGGCTGATTTTAGGGACTGGTTTCAGTTCCTCCTAGTGAAGGGGTGGGCAACTGCAGGAGGTTGGGAGGTATTTTTTGCCTTCTAGACCCTCCTTGCAGGCTTCACCCTTATGGCTTCTCTTTTCCCCACCATTTTAAGCCCCTCCTTCCAAAATACCAAGGTTCCAGGTTTTGTGGCCAAGCTCCTTGGGCTTTCAGTGCAGTTAGTGGAGCCACAGTACCTTTTCTCTTTTGGTGAAAATGAATGGATTGGAAGCTGAATTAACAGGTGAGGAAAATGCTTGTGAGGACTTCCTTGTTTCAGAAGGGACCTTGTCAGGACAGTGAAAGTTCTTAGTCAACAGGTCATGGGCCCAAGTGCTGTTGATGCCTACCAGGAACAAGTTAAAATGTCTACAAACAGCTGATGCCATTACAAGGCAGTTAATGCCTTTCATCACTATTTATGACTTTTACAGCTCTGTGGAATGGTATCAAGTTCCAGAACAATACAGGAAAACTCTCTATGAGGACAAGGATGATGGCGAGTTCTGGTATTGTCATGCTATGTTGTTGTTGTTGTCGTCGTTATTGTTGTTGCATTTCTATTTGCGTTCTTAAGACTCCCAAACCTAGAAGATATGAAACCATGCATTGTTCTTGCACAGGGCACTCCTATTTTAAGGATGCTGCTGTATTTATATATTAAACATAAGTCTGCAGTCTCTAGAGTCTTTTCTAAGAAAAGGATTGGCAGCCTATAACCGTAGCAGCTGCCAATTGCCATTTCATGTCTCACTTTCAAAAATGCTTCTAGTCTTCACGGCTGCAGAACAAGGACTGAGAATGTGATGAAAATGTGCTGTTGGAGGTGGGATGGGAAGTTAAATAGAAGTGTTCAACATTTTCTTTCTGAGAATTTCTTTTGGCTTCCCTCAACATTCAGAAGAGCTGTAGTGAAGACTTCAGAAGTGAAGACTTCATTCAAAAACAATGAAACATCTTGTTTTTTGTCAGGATGTCATGTAAAGATTTTAAAGACAATTTTACAACTGTGCACATTTGCAATAAAGTGCCAACGTTCCTGGACTTCAGAGATCAGAGCAGTTGGTCCATGGATGTGCCCTTCCAAGGAGTCTCTCCAAATAGAGGTATGCAACATAATGCTAATAAGCGCTACGAGTGGGAAGAAATGCATTTGATTCACATTTTAATATGTACCATTTGCTAAACTAGTTTGCAAAGCAGAACACAATTATCCTTTCTGGTGCACCTCTCCAATCAAAATCTGCATACAAATATGCATGCATTAGGGTAAGCGGCATACAAAAATGCTTATTCATTTAATATATTTATATTGTGCCAACTTCAATATAATATATTTATATTGAGGCAACTTCATGATATCCCTCCTGCTTTCCATTTTATCCTCACAATGACTCTGTAACTGGGCCAAAGTCACCCCACAAGCTTTACTGTGACCCAGTCACCCAGGACTAAACCCCAGAACCTATGAGTCCCAGTGCAATATTCCAAGCAACAATACTGTCCCTATTAGGGAAAATTGTATTTTAATGTGTGTTGTTGTTTTCACCTTTATTTCTGTAGTTCTCAACAGCCAAAGCTCTCTGGGTAGTGTACAATAAAATACAATATAAAAATAACAGTAAAACATTATAACATTTCACTAAAGCATTAAAACAGAATTTTAACAACTTAAACAGCTAAGACAAGTTTGTATAGCTAGATCTACTGGTGCACATACAATTTTTGATGTGGGCTTTTTTAAAAATTCACAAATTAATGCAGGAGGGAAATGGAACAAACTTGTGCTTGGAAAATGCAAACAGTATAGAAAGTGAAATAAATGTATCAGTTGCTAGTAAATCTCCTTTGCTTATTAATCATTTCTCTAATTTTTGAATCAACACATTTCAAACTGATTATTAGTGTCTGATCAGGGAAAGCAATACTGTGGGTTGTATTGCATATTTATGCTTATTGGGTTAGGGTGTTTGCAAAATGGCTTTCCAGCTCTAACCAGGGCATGCTCATCATTACACAGAAATATAGAGAAGGAATTTGAGATCATAGAGTCCCAGTTCCTAGTTCTGTAAATTTAAGTCTTAAGATATAATCACTTAAGAAGTAACTTGATCTCCTGCATCAGTATTGGGTAGACAAAGTATTGTGTTCACTTGCCTCACTCAGAAGACTGTGAACAAGTATGTGAGTTTAGCAGGTAATTGTGCAATACAGAGATAAAGAGGAGAGGGCTTAGGTAACAAGTCTGGGCTCTGTTGCGTGTGTCTGATGGTAGAAACTATCATTTTCACAACAGGTTCCTTTTCAAGAAACCCTCAATATTCTGTCCAGGTACTGGAGCCTGAGATGAAGAACTACAATATTGTAGTGTCTTTGTCACAAAAACCTATGAATAATATAAGAGGCATTGGTTTCCTGATAGACAAGGTAAGTAATGCCCGTTAATGCATCCTTTAAAAAATGGAATCTACTCCCTGCTTCCCATCCAAGTAAATGTTTACAAAGAAGCTCTCCCCCCAAAAAAAAAAAAAAAAAAGTCAGTCCATCCCTCCATCCATCCCTCCATACATGCCCTTGGTTTAGAGAATGATGATGATGATGATGATGATGATGATGATGATGATGTGCATCATCATCAGTGTAGCACAGTTTCAGAAAACTGTGTCCTAGAATGAAGCCTTTGGATAGAGGATGCTGGTTTGAGCCAAGTCTCACCAAACATGGATCGGAGGTGTCCCTGGATATTGGAAATGTCCTTGGATTGGAACTCTGGACATGTCCCTGTCCAAAACAAAAAACAAAACAAAAATCAACCCTTTGCAGCTTTGTTTTCACTTGACAGCTTTCATGGGAAAACAGAACAGCAAAATTACCTATCTGTAGCTTTGTTTTATCTATATTCCTGCCATTTGATAGATGTTTCCCAGGACACTGATAAGGCATTTGGTGGTAGAGTGCACATGAAGGGCATGATGCAGAACCCCCAAAACAAACCATCACACGGCAGGAGATTTTGCCTATTCCTGCTCCAGTGTTGACTCTGAATGTATTTTGGTACAGTCTGACTGCTTTGACCAAATTATCTTCTCCTGTGCTCTGAATGGCATTGATTTTTTTTTGAAATTTAAATGCTTAATTTCTGAAATTTTGTACTAGTGAGCTGCCTCTCTTTTTGAAAGTAGTTCCTTGCACTGTTGCAACCGTGGCTTTCAACATTTGAGAGAATTTTGGAAGTAGCTTCTGATGCAATAAAAGGAACTATAGAGACAAAAGATAGGAGCTCAGAACGCAGGCAGAAACAATTATATAAACCCAACAGTCAATACAGACCTCAACACAGGTCTCTTGGGGGAACTATTATTATAGTTGCATGTAGCTTTTTTGCATTTATATATTAAATGCTGCTTTGTGATCCTCATCAAGGAGAACAGATGACAAGGAAATTAAAGAACCTGCATACAGCAAACAGGAATTGTTATCTGATCCAAGACAGTTATAATTAGTACTAAAATAATTAATTGAGTAATCAATATGGTTAATTTATTCATTAAACACAGATTAAATTGTATGTTTTTAATTAGATCTTAACTGGACTATCTCCTAAAAGGATATTTAGTGTTAATAGCATTCTTGTAAATGTTCTACATCTGTAGTCTCAGGAGCGTTCTATGGATGATTTTTTCCCCCAGAGAACACTGTAACAGCCCCAACTATATTACAGATCATGCTCACCAATCATGTTACATGTGACTGAGGGGGGACTCCAAATAATTCAGTGGTTCCCCCAGACAATGTTGTGAGGCCATAAGAATGCAATCTAAAGCAGCTAATTAATGGAATGCCAATTGATGGATTAAAAGAGTTATTCATAATATCAACCATGTATTCTTCAGCTCTATGCTTAACTTGATTTTCTTCTTGTCTCCTTTTCAGGTTGGGCCACAGGTATGCTTCCTTTTCTTTCTTTTTTTTTTTGCACTGAATTATCATTATTTTTATGGATTAGTGTTTGTGGATAAACTACTGATCAATTGTTACCCTATCAATTACTATATAATTGTTACAATATTAGTTTTACATTCCTTTATTGTTTTATTATAATATAGAAGGCATGTTAGTCTTATGGTTAAAAAAGCAAGATTTAAATGTAGCATGCATGTAGGCTAACAGTTTTAGTAGTTCAGATACTTTGATATTTTTAGGCTCAAAACCTCTAGTTCTTCTTATAGCATCTGATGAAATGGGCTGTAATCCTTCAAAACTCATGCAAATTGATTAAAAGTTATGAACAAGTAAAACAGTCCAAATGTGTGCTCCAATGAACTCCTGAATTTGTTTTATTATGGTCTGTTTTAATGTTAAGACTATATTATCACAAGGCCACTGGAAAGTTGGAAGCTGAGGTTGAGAGAAAGTCGCCATGTTTGGATATTATGATAAGCCAAGGCTGCAAGCCAGCAGCAAAATCTGGCCCACCTGAGGTACCACACCTGCCCTCCAACATTCTCCAGATGTCTAGACACCCTTTTTCCAAATCGCTGATCATTTGCTTTGGCTTAGCTTTAGTAGTCCTGTTCTTCTAAGAGGCTGAAATTAGAGCCGTGTAGAAATAATCTCTTGAAATCTCCTCCTCTATTTGTTGGCAGAAAACCTGTGGGGACAATTTCAAGGAATTTCTCTGGTGGCAATATCAGCAAAAACAATGGCAACTTGGCCAGCATTATACGTCCTTCACTGTGTTCCATTTCTAGTGTAATTCAAGTATTTTGTGGCAGGGATGTGGATGGGAAGCAGGCCACCACAAAGATGGTGGAGAAATACTGCTGGTTGCCAAGAAGGCGGTGAGTTCTCCACAAGCCCTGCTGCGCCTCTCCATTGCTTTGTGGCCTCCATGACGGCCTGCATTTTCTGATCTGACAAAGCCCTGTGGGAAGGATCACTGTGTGATGTCTTCTGCTGGGCTATAATTGAAGAGTTGGAAGCCAAGGAAGGCTACAGACCTCTAGAAAGATGAGTGCAAAATGGAAGACAGGGCATTGGCACACAGTCCTCATCCATTTCATAAGATAAGCACAAGAATGAACCCATCCTGTGAGAATTGCTCTGGAATTCTCTTCTTCTTTGAATGTCTATTTGAAAATAATTTTGCTTGTATAAAATTGGATTAGAGTAGTTGAATGAAAGTAGACTTTTCCAGCATAGCACTACCTGCAATACCTCACCCGCAGCCTCATTACTGGCAGCAATAGCTTTTACCTCTTTTACTTTGGCCCTGATCCATTTGTGTTTGGGCCACACACCACTGGAATGTGCCCCCCAGAATTTGGCCAACATGGAATTTGGCCTTCTGGCTGAAGAAGGTTTAACATCCCTACAATAACGCATGGCTTATTCTGACAGGAATTGATCTAGCTTCTGCCTGGGCCCCTGTACCCTCCTGCTCTTCCAGCATAGCTACGAAGTGTTCTGAGCCTCTTGCTTCCATTTTTCGACTGGCCATAGCTTGTTGTGCCATCCTTACCCAGCCTTCCCCAACCTGGTGGCCTTCAGAGGCATTTGGAGCACAGCTCCCAGGATTCCCACCCAGCAGGGCCATTGACTGGGAATTCTGGGGGTTGCAGTCCAAACGTGTCTGAAAGGCACAAGGATGGGGAAGGCTGTCCTAACCTGATGAATTGTGGTTAAGCCTAAATCTACGTTATCAGAAAATATAGTTTAAAGTTTATGAAGGTGGCTTATTTCAGGAGCCATGTGAAGAACTCAGTCTTCCAGTCTCCTTCTCACATGCATCCATAGTTATCATGGCATTTAAACCTTGATATCCTAAATTCAAATAAATAATGACATCTTTGCTATTCAGTTATTCCATCTCCTCTCTCCTCCCTCAGATCCACTCAGTTTGTACCAGAAAAAAGAAGTGATGCTTATTTATCTCATTTGATTGCCATACATACAAATCTGATACAACAAAACACAGCAAATAATTGAAGTTTGTGTTCACATGTATAACGCTATCTCAGAGTTGTTGTTGTTATTCGGAAAATTTCTTAGATGTATGTCTCAAAACAAAACTGATAAGAAAAATGTTAGTCCCTGGGCTATATTTATTGAAGTCTCCTCTGTCCAGGCTTGGTTTCATCAGGATCAGTCAAATTCTGGCTTTTTGAAAAACCACAACTAGTAATGCTTCTTCTCTCAAAGAGCTGTTTAGAGCCTCTCAAACACAGATGGAAAGGTCCTTCCTGGTAGAATTAATAAATCATAAAAGCCAACATAAGTGGCTTGCCAGATTCAATCCAGCTCCTTGTCCACATCCTTGCTACATTTCATAGTACCTTTGCAGCAGCGAGTTTACACTTCCAGTCATGCTACAGATGATTCAAATCTTATACTGAGAAAAAAGTATTAATGGTGTTCGGGTGTTCCTTTTGAGTGGCTTAAAAGCTGTCTTCCTGCATAACATTATGGATGAGCAAATTAAGTGCAATTAAGACTTGTTTTGTGTTGTTGAACAAATAGATGTTTACAGTTGCCTCTAAGATTGCAAACATGTAGATTTAATTAGTGGGCACATGGTGGGTAGCGGGAGAACAAAGGCACGGTAACAGCCATATGACCAGTTGCTCAATGCAGTTGTTTGAAAGAACAAAACTTCGGTTTGACAACATTCATGCAGAACCTGCTACAAAGACACCGGGTGGTTGGTTGAAAACAGCCTTATAATATAAAGGCATTCTGAATGTCTACGGCAAAGAAAATGCTTATGCATAAAAGATGCCACTAACTTCAAAAGAGGTGCCCATTTAGGTTTGTCGAAGTTTTAATCCATCACATTTTGAAGTTCCAGTATCTCCCATGCTCCCCTTAAACATTATTTTTTCTTTCTTTTTGCAAGATAGCAGTTTACATTCTTTTTCTTTCCTTCCCAAAGGCATGGCTCATAAATTATTGTGCCACACTGTGTAACCATTCTAAATGGGATTTATACACTCCAGTGTATTTGTAGGAATATGTTTAGTCAGGGTTTTTATTATGCTGTCTTTATATGTCATCACAATAATAGCTGTTGCATTTTATTTATTGTTACATCTCGATGAAAATATTGGAACAGCAACAAATATGACAGGGAATGTTATTTTCTTATGAGAATAGATATAATGTTCACAGTCCACAGCAGAACTATAACAAACATGTTGACATGGAATGTGTGTTCACATGATGTAGTCAGGTAACTGTCGCTCTTCCAAAGACTTCCCAACACCCTTGTTGATGATCTTGATGAGTTACTTACAGTATAATACCACAGATGTTTACTTGGGCTTAATTCACTTTATGTTCAGGTTTTACTTCCAGGTAATTGGTCTTATGGTAGCCTTTCCCAAATGGGAATCCTTCAGATGGTTTGGACTACAACTTCCATCAAACCCTCAGTCTGCAAGAAGAATGGTTGGGGATGCTGGAAATTGTAATCCAACAGATCTGGAAGGAATCGTATTGGGGAAGGTTGGACTGTGGGAACGTGGAGTCTATTTGCCAACTCTCCTATTCTTTATATGGGCATGAATGATTCCTCTTTCAGGAGTCTCTTATCTTGCAAAGGGTTTATTTATTTATTTAGACGGCAACATTGGCTCCTTCCCTGAAGGCTCTGAGTCACTAGTGGAGTCCAGCTCATGACGAATCTGAGCAATTTTCTCCCTAAAATGCTTGGCAAAGTCGTCACAGCGGGCCATTGAGGGTGGTACCAGGTCTTTCTTAGGGCCTGGGTGAACTAGCCCTTGTACCACCCGAAAAAGCTCTGCCGGACAGCATTGTGAGGAGGCAATGGACGCAGAGAAAAAAATCTTTTTTTTCGCCCTCACCACCACAGCATAGGCCCGATAATGGGCTTTTAAGTGTGTTCGGTCAGATTCATGCCGTGATTTCCTCCACCTACGCTCTAGCCGTCTCCCAACCCGCTTCATCACCCGTAATTCAGTGTGTACCAAGGGAATGAATGGGCTCTGCCCGGCGGGAGAGGACGCTTAGGAGCGATGGTGTCAATAGCCCTGGTCATTTCCAGGGTTGTTCACTCTTCTTCAGCTCACTTGAATGTAGAAATAAATGATATGCAAAAGAGAAGGATGATATGCAATGATAATCACATCAGAATACCTGGCCATTTCCTCTAAGGGCAGAACCAGATGTGAAAAGACTGGGCTCATGCGAATGCGAGATGTCACTAATTACTTTCACTTGAAACCTGGGCGCTACATCATTACTCCAATTGCATCACAAGAAGGTCAAGAGTTTGAGTTCCTTCTGCGAATCTTCCTGAAGAGTCCAAATAACCTCAGGTAAAGCTTTTATGAGTAGAACTTGAACTAGAGAAGGTGGAGAAAAGCCATTTTATCAGGTCTTCCAGGAGTGTCTCCCCAGCCTCATTATTTAGGGAAACCTTTTAAAGCTAACATGCATTTGTTCCCACAGTGCTTCTCAAATGTTTCTCTAAATTTTGATATCAAATGTTGTTTAACTATTTTCTGATGATCTGAATATTTGCAAAATATTCATCAAAATGTGATGTTTGTATTTGGAATTTGGTGAGATTTGATCACTGTGTATCGTATCTGATAATGATATTTAGTTCCAATGTTTAACAGGAAAGGGAGGGAATAATTTGTTGTTTGAGGTTGTCTCCTAATATTCAGAAGTTTTCTAAAGACCATTATTCATGGAGATTAGAGATTAATACATTTACTAGACATTTCCATGATGGCTTGTGTATGTGTTCATACTGCTGTTCATCCCATGTTGGGTCATATTCTTCACTGGTATTATTTGTCTAATTACGAAGAGACCAAGAGAGAATATGATGTCTACATACCCTGAAATTATGTGTTAGGCAGGCCAGAATGATCCTTTGTGATTCTTTCCCTCAAGTACTTTATCAGATAAGGCAGCTGCAAATAGCTTCAGCCTGTGGGGGGGCCAGTGTGGAGGCAGGACAGAGTAGGGGGCTGTTAACCCCTTTTATTCCCATCCATTGTCTTCTGAAAATCCCCCTTCCTCATAGTTTTGCTTCCCAAGTAGTAAAAGGTAGAGAACCCTCTGCTTTTAACTCTTGTGGGGGAGGGCAGCTGGAAAGATGGCAATTTGTGCTGACAAATGAATGGGAAAAAAGGGTTTATACACAGCTCCACCCAACCACCTGGTCCTGTGCTCAATCCAAAGCTAATTTCTAAAGGCCCTTGAGAAAAGAATTGTGGAATTACATTTAACTTGTAGTCCCACCTACGTTGTATGCAGAGAATCAGCTTCAGGACTCTGCCAGTCTCCTCCTCCCATCTTTTCCTATAGACTGTTCAAAACCCTTTCGCAGGCCTGTGTTAGGAGCTCTGCCCCAGCTAGAAAGCTGTATATAAAAGTGGATATATATCAGTTCCATTACCAGCACCAGTATGACACCTGAAGTCAGTACAGAGGATGTAACAAAGAACACAGTGCCCTCATTTGACAATATGCTATCCTTGGAATTGTCATTTATATAGATTCTCTCTCTGTCTCTCAGGAAACCAAGCACTGAGCGCAGTCCAGTGCAGACAATGGTAAGCAGAGTTAAAAAGTGATGCAGTTGTTCAAAGTATGCTGGTTACTTTATTATCTTTACCTTTACCTATACCTAATCCTGACCCTGCCTTTTTTCAATTTGTTCTGGGCTTCTATAACTGTGCAGTAGAAGAATGCCAGTAGAAATTGGAGCCGTGCCCAAATGACCTCTTTACGTACTCAGTCCTCTTCGTGGGTGCAGAACTGGGGAGGATATTTTTGCAGAATTTCTCCAGTAGGAGGACAAGTTGTCCAAAAATTTCTCACAGGTAGGGCTTACTATAGACAGGGCTTCCTGCATAGCTTTCTTCTTTTTTAATAAGAGTTTTTACTGGGGTGGAGGGGGAATGTGCTTTCAGGTTGCCCTTCTGCATTTTGGGGGAGTTTCAGGTTGCCCCCGCCATTTTGCATCCCCCTAGCATTAAGTTGCTAAATGTTGCACTGAATGCTAGGGAGGCAGCAGTTTTAGACCTGTGCCTAGATCTGCCCTCCAATTTCCTGTAGGTTTTTGTTCCCCATGCAAGAAGCCTCCACTGTTTTGCCTAATTCTCAGGCTGTTTTATAATTTACTTGTGTGTTTTTCTGAGCTCACCGAATAATAGTGAGGCAACCAAATGTATTGTGCATTTGTTTTATTTTACGATACATTTCTCAATTGCTCTGAAGCTTCCCAGGGTGCCTGATTTGGAAAAAAAAACAAACAAAATATAGTGCCCCATGGAAAGAATTAGCTCGTGCTGTCTTCCTTTGGGCTTTAACTGAAGTGCAGGAAGCTGAAAAGGCTACAGATACCAGACAGATGGTCGCAAAATAATACAGGACACTTGCACATATGTTTTGGCTACTTCCTAAGGAAGGCAATCACAGCAAAACCAAATCCAGACCAATAGAATTTCTCTGAAATTTTCCTCAGCAAACAGTCAGCAGAATCCTAAGGCCTATAGATATACCTGGAGGGTCAGAGAATTGTTCAGCATTCTAGCTCTCCCCTTGAAGCCAGAGCAGAACAAACTGTGCCAGCTTTTTCTCCAAGGACACAGCAGCAGAGGCTGAGTTTGGGGCCATTCCAGGGAACGGGAGAGAAAAAGACAGACACCACCAAGATATGAGGGATTCTAGGGATCCTAATGGCACCCAAGCCTCCTTGCTTTCTACTCTGAAGCACCGCAGTTAGACAACTGGCATCAGCTGTCTAGCTCTCTGGCATGACTGGAGAACATGGATGTGGTCTTGAGTTCAGGAGCATATAAGCAGTCAGTGCAAGCTGGATGGAACTGGAATTATATATTTGAAACTTCTTGTCCCAGTTTTAAGCCTGGCAGCTGCTTTTTGCACAATCTGCAGCTTTTCTGAACTGTCTTGAGGGCAGCACTATATACAGCACATTGCGGTAATCTAGTTTAGTGACTCCCACAGTGTAGATTGCTGAAGCCAGGCTATTTCTGTCAAGATAGGGGCATAGCTGGGCCACCAGTTGAAGCTGGTAGAAGGCACCCTGTGCCACTTTGGCCCCCTGAACATCAAATGGCCAAGACGGATCAAGGATTGAGCATCCTCCATCTGGTCAGAGGAACCACCTACTAAAGGAATCTCAGTCTTGCCTGGATTGAGATTCAGTGTGTTAGTCCTCAACCAGGTGACCGTCGCAACCAGGCACAGGTTTAGCACTTCCACAGCCATACCTGATGAAGATGAAAGGATAATTTGAGCTGCATGTCATCACTCATGGCAACACACTCTGGTTGGCCTCTCTATGTGGTTTCGGATTAATGTTGAATAGCCTGGGAAGTAAGACTGATCCCTGAAGAACCCATGAGCTCACCTTCCAAGTGGAAATGGAACCTCTGCAGTGCAGTTCCCCCCACTCCCAACTCATACAGCCTCCCTGGAAGGATAACATGGGTCATTGTATCAAAAGCTGCTGAGAAATCCAGGAGTACCAACAGGGTTACATACATCCCATCTCTCTGCAAGCAGAGGTCATTTTGTAGGGTGACCAAAGCTGTTTCTATAGCAAAAATCTAGCCTGACCCTCAGCTGAAATGGATCCAGATAGTCTCAGCTAAGATTGCTTGGAGCTGGTTAGTCTCTGCTCACTCTGGAACTTTGTCCAGGAAGGGAACATTCATCACTGGAAGTTACTTGGGTCTTCTGGGTTCAGAGAGGATTTCTTCAGGGGTGGAATCACCACCACCTGTGGACCACTCCCTCTTAGAAAGAGTCATTGATCATCTCCCACACTCAGCCAGTTATTCCCTCTCCACTATAAGTAAAGAGGCATGGAGGTGTCCAGTATGGACTTGGTTGCACAAACATGTCAAAGTACATTATCATCCTCAAGCTGAACCAGCTGAAAGTGATCCAAGAAAACTGGACCAGGCTGTGCTATGGACACCTTATTCTGATCCAACTGGTGCAAAATTGAAAGCCCTGGCAGATGCAAGAGATTTTATTATGTGAGTGCCTAGCAAATGTATTAGAGTAGAACTCAGAAAAGTCTAAGAAGTCATTGGGGCCAGCCTGTAGTGAACCCTGGATGACCCTAAATTGCTCTGCTGGACAGCAAGTAAAAGATTAGATACAGGAAGTGTGATGATGTTTCCTTGCTGTCCCTACCGCCCTTAAATATGTGTAAGAATAGGCACAAGGCAGGGTTTGGTTGCATCCACTGGAAGCTTCCCCCCCCCCCCCATCTTTACTCAATCCACCTCTTCTATTGTTTCATTGCTCTCAAACCACAGAGCCATATGAGTTCTACTAAGAGAGGGGGCTCAGGAGTGATCATGTCCTGTGCCTGGGTCATCTCTGTATTCCATAGATCAACAAGGGCTTTGACAGAACTACCAGCTATATCAGATGGAAAATCCCCAAGCATCTGGATCCATTCACCTCGGGGGGGGGGGGGACATTTTAATAGATCCCACACCATTGCATCACCATTAGTCTAGATATCAACAGGCAGTGATCTGACCACGACAGAGTTTCCTATTCAAAGCTGCCCCCACATTTTCAGATCACTATCCCCATGTCTGGCTGACAAAAACTAATCCTGAATGTGCCCTGTTAACGTGTGTTGGGCTGATGGCAACTTGCGACAGTCCCCTGATTGTCATGGAGTCCACGAAATTCTAAACTCCCTGAGATAAGTTACCCTTGGCATGAATGTTAACACCCCACCCCCTGCGCAAACACTCTGGAGGACCTCAGTGCCACATCTGATAACTTCTCTGGCAGCTCCGGTGGTGAGTCCGCTGAGCACCAGGGCAGGCAGTGCAGCAACAGAATGCCCAACCTGTCCTGTTGGCCCACCACCAGATGCAGGCATATGAGATGGACAGGGAAGCGGGAGAGAAAGCTAGAATTCCGATAGCCCACAGCATAGCCCCCTCCCTGGCCCTTGAGTCCTCCCGATGTTGAACCAAGCACCCCAGTGGGCACAGCTGGGACAGACGGAGTCCTCCCTTGCTGCCCACCCAGTCGTGTATGCCAGATTGGCTGCCACATCCACTATGCGTGAGGAAGATCTCGCTTCGGGCCAATCTGGCTTTGAAAAGCATCCCTTGGAATCCCAAGGGCAGGCTGATAGCACGACCACTAGACTTGTGGATACAAGGGAGGCCAGAGCAGGGCACGGCCATTGGCGCTCTGGGCCTCATTCCCCTTCCCCGGCTAGCCCTCTTCCCAATGTCTCATCTCCCTCTGCCTGCCGCTCCACAAACTGTGGACTCCACAGATTTCCCCACTTGGCCCCAGGTCTTCCAACCAAGGCACACATCAGGATGTAAGAAATAATCCCCCCCACCAAGAAAAGTTGTTGGGGGGATACTCCTTGCCCTCGTGCCTCCCCCCCAAAGCAATTCTTCCCAAAGGGGTGTGACCCATTTGGCAGCATCCCTCAGGCTGCATCACTGCTGAGTTCTTGTTGCCCCACACTGGGGTTGCTCCATATGGGATCCTTCTGCAGCACAGAGGGCTTGAGCTGGCAACCAGCCCGAGAGTTTGTGGTGTGGAGCAGTGCTGTCGGCCGATCCGGTGGCCTGGGCATGTGGCAGGTGCACCAGTCTTTGGGCAGAGGTCTTGGAATGATACCCTAAGACCTCTTGGGCCTGTAAGACCCGCAGGGGTGGAAATGCATGGGAGGGGATATTTTTGCCCCAGATCTGGGCTGGTTTCATGTTCTGCCAGCAGCAAGGGCGTGGGCAAGAACTACAAGGGCACAGGAGGCTGGGCAATTGTGCCCATCCCTGGGTTGCTCATGGCCCACCCAGGACTCCATCCAGTCTTGGCTGTTCTTCCAGCACGGTGGCAGTTTCCCCTGTGTGTGTGGCAGTGGCCCATCCTGCATCCTGCCAGCACAGTGGGACACCAGCCAGTCTTATGGACATGCATGTAACCCCTGAACTCCCAAGCTTCTGCTCTTCCAATGCAGAGCAGAAGGAATGGCAAAAGTGAGCTGCACCTCCCTGCTCTTCTTGCCCTGCAATTTTGCTAGGCGGCTGATTTTGGCCGCCTAGCAATGGCGTCTCAGAGGGGAGGGAAAGCAGGCCTCTTGTCTCAGCATTGCTGGCCTCCCCACCCAGCTCCTCAGGATGCCCCCTTTCCCCTCTCTCCAAGGTTGATTTTCTGCCCCGGAGACCCGCCAGGGCCATTCTTTCCCCACTGGCTGCAAGGGGGCTGGGCGGGTCAGAGCTCCAATTTCCACAGAGTTGCAATGCTGTCCGTGAGGTTGGATCAGACGATCCAATTATCCTATGACCTCCCACATGATGTCTACTGGCTATAGGATCACTCCTAAATTCCTCAGCTTCAATAGTTCCTAGCCTTTTCCTTTCTGTCTCTTTTCACCTTTGTTTTGCTCCATAAACCTGGCATGTTCTCCCTGTGAATGAATGCCAATTGCAGCCTTCCTTGAGGCTTTGTTCAAATCAGTTTTGAAGCCTTGCTGTTTAACAAAGCCTCCATAAAATAACACTTCTCTCTTTGCTCTTTGCCTGATTACCACTACAATGAAGCCTCCTTTATCTCTGCACCCTACAGCTTGCACATCCAATAATTTGGATTAATCTGAAGTCTGGATGTACAGGAATGCAGTTTATATTTGCCTGAATTTATGTAGGGCCACAGGGTGGTATTTAGTGAATTCAGATAATTAGGAAGGGTAATTCAGACTCAGATAATGGGATTCTGTCGTATTGAATTTCTTCTTGCTGTCAGACCTTTGAGGATGTGACTGGGTCTTTGTGTGTGTGTGTGCGTGCGTGCGTGCACATTCACGCATGCATGCGCGTGCAAACATACACACGAATGTTGCCAACTGTAAATAGCTAGGATCATCTGTGGGTCAAGTTAATAATAATAGGATGTCTTCCACTGTCTGATTTTTGTGATTGATTTTTATACATGCCTGCTTTCCTTTGATCCAGAATATGCCCAAGTGGAATCAAGGCAACTTCTACGAAAACATCTTCCTAAGATATGCTAATCAGGTAAGTTGACTAAAACCAAAAACAAAACATGTGCATCAGCAAGGCAAGAGGAATTAGGATAATAAAATTCTCCCATCAGAAATGCAGATCTCAGAACTCCATTGATTTGCCTGCTGCTATAAGATATAGGTCAAGGGACTCAAGCTAGAATATGATAGCTCTGAGCTGATTATTTGCAGGCAAAGAGGTGTTTCTTAAGCAAGTAATTAGCAACAACCCTTGGCTGCAAATATGCCTGAGTATATCTGTGATATTTTACTCTGATCAGAATGACTTCCAGTTTGCACTTGCTGCGTTTGGAAAGCAGACATCAGTCAATGTTTGGGTAATTGATTCCCACTCTTTCTGAGCTGAGCTGCATGTGTTCACAGAAGATGCTCTTAATGGCTTAATAAACTGTTATAAAGGACTCCTTGACTTAGTCAAGAGAAAAATTGCTGCCAAAAGCCTCTGCACAATAGACCTCTTGCAGCTAATAGTTATATCAACGCATAAAAGGTGAAAATGACACTGCCTACTGCGAATAATGCACTAGGTCTGTCTCTGGGAGCAGTAAGGGCAAGGAAGGGAAGATTTTACAAGGCTCATGAGTCAGGCAACTCCAAGCCGCAGGGACAGCGGGCCAGATTCTCAGCTCTTTGTCAGGGGGAGTTACCATGGCAGTGTAGCAGTAGCACTGTGCAGTGCAGCTGCTACAGCCCCAGATTATCTTTTTGGTGCTCAGCAAAAGAAGCCCCTAAAACCAAAACAAACGAACAGAAATCCCAGCGTGACTGCTTCCCATTTCCTGTTTCCCAGGAGAAGTGGCTGGCTTGATAGCGAGATGTGCTGACTTCACCACACAGTTTAAAATGGAGCAGAATGCTTCTGTTAGAAAAAACTACCACGTGCTCACATAATGCAGAAATAGAAAGAAAAGAGTTAAGACTTAGAGCAAATCTGTCCACAGAGGCTCTGTCCTTTCTCGCTTTTGAAAGATGTTCCTGTAGAGCTAGGATAGGACACAGGGCTGTGTCTGTAAAGTGAGACCTCTTCTTAAACTTCTACAAGTTATTATACCCAATACCATACCTGGCAAGTACTATGTTTGAAGTGTGCTGACTGATTACTACAAGGTAATCTATCTCCTTCTAAAACCCTTATTTTCAATCTAAGTGCTTCCCATCTACTAACAGCATTGCTGCTATCTCTGTTAATTCCGAGGGAATTCAAAACGTTCTCAACTTCTCCTTATACATCTTATGTCCCTGTGCTTTGAAGCTGGCAACATACCTAGAAAAATATTTTCCTTGAACATCTTTCTTTTGTGAAGTCAAATGATTCAGCTATCAATCACTTTCTGAAGTTTACTTTAACTCAGAGTAGGCCTAAAGAATCAATGTTTGAGCAGCCAATCTTGGATGCTCTTAGCTATCCCTCCCATCCCTGTCTAGGCTTCCTCTTATATCTACTTTTATATTTAAGCAAAAGCTTAGAGTAGTTTCTTACAGCCTTTTGCCTTAAGAGCAGCTGAGAAGTCATTTAAGCTTCTTTTGCTAATAATATCTCTATGGCAGTTAGCTAAGAAAGAATAGTAGGGAAATGTTAGAAATCTGATACAAAGGTAAAAATCTGAAAGATGTACATAATTTGCTCCTCAGATTTTGATTCACCAGCCCTATACTGTCATATGTATCAAGGCAACGGGCAGACTTCTGTGTCTAAGCAAAGTTGTTAATTGTACATGTAAAAAAAATACTAGGGAAATTTGAACAAATTGCACGATGTGGACTAATGCAATTTGCATAAATTGTGCAATTACTGCAAATTGAAAATTGAAAGCCACATTGTTCTGGTGTGAATTGTGCAAAGCACTGCAGAATGCCACAGTTTTTGGCTTCCAATTAACTCAGATTTCCTAATTTGCACAAATTATGCTAGTCCAATTTGTGCAAATGGTGTGCTTTGCAAAAATAACCCTTAATTTATTTAAAATGTACAGATTGTGGCCCACCTTAGAAATAGAAGACCATGGAAAACCCTGCGTCAGGCTGCTTCCAGTCACTGGCTCAGAGGCAGTCAGGAGATCTGTCACGTGCAAATGTATGAAAGCCACCTTGGGTTCTTTCGAAGAACACAAAAGATGGAGTATAAATATAATCCTCCTCCTCCTTGAGCTTCTTGGCTAAGTGGGGCCTAGAACCCAGATCTCCCAAATCCCAGTCCATCACGCTAACTACTATGTCAAACAGACTCTCTTAATTTCTGCGTTAAAGATTTCGTGTGTGTGTATCTCCTGTTATTCAGACATAGGCTAATAGTGATAATCCTGTTTCCATGCAATCTTCTTTATGTTTGCTGAGAGGCAAGTCCCCCACTAATCCCCAATAAGTGTGTCTAGGATTGCAACCTTCCAGCTCTATCTCCATATTCACTGATGTTTCTCAAGGGTTTAAGGACATTCACAGAGCACCTCCATGTTCCAAGCAGTAGAGGTGTCCAAACATTCTTCACACGCATGGAGGGAAGGCAAGTTTGATTGTCAGCCACTCTCCCCACAGTCACCCCAACTGGCCACAGCCCCCAGTGGCTGCACATGTACCCAGCACAAGCAGGAGCCCTGGGCGTGTTCCAACCCATAGGTGTAGGGCCCCTTCTCATAGTGGACAGTTGCATGACCTGAGCTGGGAGGCAGCATGCAGGTTCTGGCCTTCAGCTCCCAAGCATCTGTGCTCCGTGTGATCATTTTCGCCAGTCACGCAGAGACAGGGAGCTCGTTCAGTCACTCAGTGCATCCTTTTTTTTGTCTGTCCAGTAACACTGCAGGGCCCTGGAATAGCAATGCAATCCTCTTCTTGACTGTTAGGTAGTAAAAACAGCTCATCCTTTACCTGTGGAATATAGAAACTCAGAGGAAGAAAGATGAACAGATCAAGTTTTCAAAAAATCAGTACCAAATAAATCAAGGGCAGTGTGAGAAGAGGCAATATCTTCTGGTTAACAGAGCATCAAAGCTGTGAAGACACCAGGGTCTTGTATCTCTTTCTGATGTCTTCTATCCGTTGTAATCGTTCTGTGTATTTTATTGATGTCCTTCCTGGAATTGTGCAAAGAACCCCAAGCAGCAAAATAGCTAACTGAATATGAATATTGTCTAGAGAGTGGGATATATATATATATATATATATATATATAGAGAGAGAGAGAGAGAGAGAGAGAGAGAGAATGTTCTTCAAAGTTTGCAAATGCATGGATATAAATGGAAATTACTTACACCGAGGCAGATCTGGACCAATGTGAGCATTAAGCATAAACCACCATTTACTGCTCTGTGGAGCCTGTTACCCTCCTGATGTTTTGGAAAGCAACTAGGGATGGGGAAGTAATTCATTTGGTTTGCATGTTAATGTGAAACTTATCTAATTTTGCATTTTCAAACCAATACATGAACTGTAACTCAGTAATCCATCAAAATTTGCACTTCTCCAAATACTGCAATCAAGTTCTTCAGCCATAAAATGCACACAAGAATGTGTATATTCATGAAAGTAATCTTGAAAGTACATTAGGAAAATAGTTTGAAAGAGGTGTCTATCAGGTGAAATTGCATACAAATATACATATATTAGGAGAAAGGAATAAATAAATGTATGTGCATTTTCATGTGACTGTTTAAAAAAGTGTTCAAATTTCAGCTTGAAACAAACGCAAGACTTGCAAAAGACGAATGGAGAGAAACTGAAATTGACAGATCAAACCATCACTAACTGCAGTGCCCATTAGCCTCAGCCAGTATGATCAAGGATCATTGAAGTTGCAGTCTAACATAACTGGAAGCCTCTGTGCTCCCTACCCCTGATCTAGTATGAGGTTTCTCCTGGGTGGGGGGAAAGAAATAAAAGGAAGATGACTATCAGTTTGTAGAATAAAGTGGAATATATCTTTCAATGGATCAGTCAGCAGCTAAGACCTAAAAGAATGCTGCTGGGAACTGGGGCATCTTCCAGGGAGGGAAGTAAGCTGGACTTCACCCTTGTTTACCTCTGCCAGCCAATTTCTCCCTCTCCGGTTGTTTTCACTAGACTGGGGCCCTAATTCTCAGTCAAACTGCTATAGCTGGCAAAAGAGCTACCCCCAGGGTTGACTGAAGACCAGGTTTCCTCTGGGGAGGACTTTAACTGCTTACCTAAGGATTAGAGCAGTGACATCCTTGTGGGATGGACCCAACAGGGATGGCACAAAAGGTGGGTTCCCCTTTGAAGAACACAAGGGCTGCCCCCTGACAGCTCTTTGCATCAGCCTATCTTTGGGCCTCCACTACTGCCAGATCAGTCCAAAAAAAGAGGTCTCTCATGCAGGACATAATACTGGATGAGGAAGCCAACCTGGCATGCATTACTGAGACCTGGGCGGGCAAACAGGAAGGAGTTAGTCTCTCCCAGCCATGCCCACTGGGGTACTCGGCTCAACCATTCAAGAGTGGACTCAAGGGCCAGGGAGTGTGCTGCAGCCTGTGGGAATTCTAGCTCTCTCCAGGCTCCCTGTCCATCTCACCGCCACCCTCTGGTGGTGGGCCAGCAGGACAGATTAGGCATTCTGTGATACACTGCCTACCCTGGTGCTCAGCAGGCTCAGCATCTGAACTGCCAGATGTGCCCCAAGTTCTGGTGCTGAGGTCCCCTAGGCTATTACTCCTGGAAACATTAACATGTCTAATTGGATCTGTATAACCCTAGGGAATTCTGCTGGGTGGGAAATAGAAGATTTATTTATTTATTTGGCACAAGGCATATATTGCCAAGGAGTCTGCAATGTTTTTACACACAGTGGATGTTCTGGTTCCTGCAGTTGCTAGTCTGTTATTGCACCCATGCACCATGGGGAGTGAACTAGCTTAGCACCGGTTGGCCAGCGATGTTCTTGTTGAAGTCAGTTCACCCAAGGCTTTTCTCCACTAATCCTCTGCTGATGCATCCAGGCACCGGTGCTTGCTTTCATTGCGAATGAAGCCAGCAGGTTTTCCTACTGAGGAGTGGTGGTCCCCATTTATCTGCTCACAGGTGGCGTACTTTCAAACTGCTAGGTGGGTAGGAGCTAGGGGCAGATGACAGGGGATTCCTCTGTTCTACGAAGCTGGGCTCAAACTGCTGGATTGTTGACCATTTCTGATTGACAGTTCCAGCATCATTAAGCCACTGAGCCACTGCATCCCCCTAAGACTGAACAGAGGCAATGAGACGTCGTTTCTTTGCTGTCCCCACCGCTCCTAAATATGAATGACTGTAGGGTTCAGTTGCATCCACTAGGCGTTTTCACCCATCTGCCCTCAAGCCATTGTTCAGTGTTTCATTGTCCTTAGCTTCGTTGCTCTTTCCACACTGCCTGGTACACTGCTTTGGATACTGGGCAAGGTGGTAACAGTAATGGTCATGGTAATGCTAACAATAATGGGAACAGCACAAGATTTGTTCCCAGTGGATCATAGAATTTATAGACAGTTTTCTCTGATTTTCCATTAGAGTTCCTACCTGGATGCCTCACAGCTGCAAAGGATCCTTAATGAAGTAGTCCTGAAGGGTAATGGCCATTGCTTATGGCTAGTAATTGTTCTTTCAATCTCTCCTTCCTTTGGTCTTCTGTCCTGTTCAGTCACTAATCCTTTTGATAATTGGGACCATCTACTGAATTGAACCACATTAGGCTGACTCATTTACCCATCCCATGAGAGCCGAGAGCCAGAGTTAATCCCAAAGTGTTAGCAGCAGGCCTGTGGTTACTTGTTAAAAGTAGGTCTGTAATAAGCGAGGCTTGGGGGATCCAATCTGCAGAGCCAAGCAACACACCGGGATGGAGCACTAAGCCCTCCCATGTCCACTGCCGTCTCCTTTCAGCTGATCTGACTTCCAGTTTAACAGCCTTCCTGAAAATAGGCTATCCTTGGGGACAAAATGTGGGGTTCCCATCCATGGGGCGGGCAGTCTGCTCCTATCACTTTGCTGGTGTCTCCACACACAGCATTAGCACTGCAGAACAGCGTTCCAGAATACCAGTCCCTGATGTGCTAAGGTTGCATCTTGTGAACATGGGTTAAGATGATGATGCCCAAACAGAATGCCATGGATGAGGGTTACTGTTGTTTTTAAGGTGTCCAGCATGGTGTTCATGGGAACTGGAGTTATTCTGAGCAGTTGATGGGATGTCCCCAAGGAATGAACTGAGTCTCCAGAATGCTAAATATCCCTCCTTTGGGTATGATAAACTAGCTCTGAAACTTTTGGACATCTAAAGTTGAACCCTATTTTAACCAGGGTCAGGGAACCTGTGGCCCTCCAGATTTTGTTGGAGTACTTCTTCAGACAGTTGAATGATCGGATTTGTATACGCATGCTTGTGCACTATGTATTATCCACCCTTTCTTTAAGACAAGGCAGCTGGAAAGGCTTAGGGCTAAATTGGCACCACTTCCATTTGCCTTAGATGTGCCGAAACCAGACCAAGTGCCGGTTCCAGTGATTCCTCCTGCAGAGCCATCCCACTTGGGCTGCTGCACATGGCGCTTTGTGTTTGGGTACAGAGCCCAAGGAAGGCCACTGCTTCCTGTGAGGGCAGCTACACCTGCCACAAGCCCTGAGTCCCTTCCCAGTTGCTCCTCTTGTGCATTTTGCAAAACATGACGGTGAGACACTGCACCTTAGTGGAGCTAGGATCCAAATTCCTAAATTAAAAACAAATCACTCCATTGTGGCACCCCCTCCCCATCTCCTTATTCTTTATGCATGTTGCTTTCTGATTTATCCATTTACAGATCTAATGGCCGGTCTGCATAGCGGAGATGGATTCAGCTTCGATTCATCCAGGAGCCTTTTAAGTCTGATGGATGTATCTTTTCAACAAATGCAATAAACCTTCCTTGGGCAGCCCTTCCTTGCTTTGAGTTATGCCTGTGCTGAGCTTCCTGTTGCAGGAGCTCTGTGAGCAAATATTTGCCATAAGATATGCCCTCTACTTATGCAGGAGATCTATCAAGTGCTATATTCTTTTCTCTAAAGGCCTTTGTTTCTATTAGATGTCCATCAAAGGAAATGGCATTGCATAGAGAAGCTTAAAGATTAGGCCATAGTATGTGTTCTTATTTCCCAAGTTAGTTAATTAGTTGATTTTCCAAGTCTCCATGTTTCCATGCATGCGAGCAGCACATTTGAAGGTGGCCAGGTGTCCTATTTTCACAGGACAGTCCTCTATTCTGGAGAATCAGTCTTGGACAATTCTGTGTTTGAAGGTGAACTCTATTTGATGGGCAGTCCAGTCAATGATTTAACAAGACAGACAGGTTTGAAGTTGATAAGGCCCACCGAGAGTTACAGACAGCAGGCTGAGCAGGCATGAAGGCTACCTGGTCAGCCTTTTCCACTATGGTATGACATGCTTGTGTTTGCATTTTGATCATAGGCGTAATTTGTAAATGTGCCCCTATACACAGATGCCTGTACAGGCAAGTGCTTTGCCAGCTGGTGTCTTCTTCCTTGGTGATCCCTTTTTCTTTTTGGTGAAGCATAAATGGATATCTACACATGTGTCCACTCAAAGGTAAATCTTACCAACGTCAGTGTGGGACTTCTTCCTATGTTATGCCCACAGGATGGGCAGAAAAGCTTCCACTTTGTGAGCAAGACAAGAGATGATAAGGAGCATTGGGGCTGACCACTTGCAGGACTCCGCAGGGCTGGAATAAGACATTCTTCCACTGGCTGTGAGCTGCTGCCTTTTTCTATTATTTCCTTTCCCCCATTTGTCTTTTCATCTGTCTTTGCCTTTGCAAATAGCTTTCTTTGCCATTTAAAGCATGCTCCTGACAGCCCAGGAGCACGGTTGCACGGGGAGAACAGGTGCGCAAGGATGACTTGCCGTGTGAACCTTCTTCCGTGCGCCCAACTCCTTGCTCCCTGACTGTGAGGGGGCTCATCCCTAGGTGCCCCCTTGCCCAGCACAAGTGCAGCAGCAACAGCAGTGGTGCGCGGGGAGCTTGGAAGGGCATCGGGTGGCCCCTGGAGCAGTGGTTGTCCATATGCGACGAAGACAGTGTGTGCGGTTCTTTTACTGCTAGCAAGACAATACAAGAGCTGTCTTTGTGGGAAACATGCATTCCACAAAGTGGTCTCTATCACTTTAATTTGCTTTCTCATTATCCTGGGTATTGGAGTAATTCTGAGAAACAACCTTAGCATTGCCAATTAATGAATAAAATATGACTAGCAGCCTTTCTGTCTCCTTCCAGTTTTTGTGTCTCCATCTGGAAAGGGACTTCCTATGGCTTATAATTCCATCAACCCTTCAGGAAAGGAATCTGCAGTGTAGACATGTAGAGAAGGGCTGCAGCAGCCATGTTTCATCCTGAACTTTTATTACAAAGAGCATTCACTCATCAGATTATCCTGCAATCCATACAATGCTCTGCGAACGCCTGACCTGCTGTCTAGGGCAATTTGTTGACAGAAGCATTTACAGATGTGCAAGCAAGATGTTCATGTTCACCCAGATTCTCTGGACAACAGCTCATTCATTGCTCACCTGTCTTCAATTTGCTCTTGCAGTTGCTTGTTTTGCACAACCACAGAAATCGCACAAAATCAGCCTGATCAAATATGAAACTTTAATCCTAAGCCTGCAAATGTCCAAAGCTGCACAATTTTTCTTCATAGACGAAAGCATAGAAACATAGAAACAGAGCAAGTCAGAAGGGGTCTCCTGGGCCATCTAGTCTGACCCCTGGCTCCAGCTGGCTCCGCTCATGACATGCCCACCATGTGCATGAAATAGTGCATTTTAGGCTGCATAAATGCATTTTGTCTCATCAAAATTTGCATAGTTTTCACTGCAAGCATGCATTGGAGAATTTACTAACATTATTTATTTATTAGAATTTTAGCCCACCCCATCAGCCTCAGAGCTTCCTGGGCAGGTTGCAAACAAGAAATAACATTGGCAGAGAATACTTTCTCTTGCTTGCATTTGCATTTGGGATTCCAAAAGAGGTGTGTTTACCTGTTTTGCAAGCAAAAACAAAACAAAACAAAACACCACTCTTACATTGCTTGTGGCATTCCCCTGTTCTTCTTAGGTTACTGTAATTAGATAAAGTCTGTTCTTTAGAAATGTTAGTAGCTAAAGTCATATTAGGAGAAGCATGTCTTAAGATAAATTCCTTATTTCATTTATATAAATGTTTATATATGGCCACTTATCCTTCAAGGAAACCAAGGCAGCTACACAACCCTCCTCCTCTCCATTTTACACTTTCAACTACCCTGCAAATTAGGTTAGGATGTGAGGCAATGCTCGGCTCTGTGAGCTTCAAGGCTGAGTGGGATCGGAATCTCAAGGCTCCTGGTCCAGCACTCCCATCAATCCACTGCACCAGTTCTCAGTATCATTAATTAAGTATTTTATTGATTTCAATTTTGACTACCCAGTTACTTGAGTTTTCTGGGCAATTTACAAGTATTCTTTTTTTTTTTTTTTTTAGGAAGTAAAGTATTATTTTAAAAGCACGTGATATAAATACAGGTAAAGGCTGCTGTGAATGGGAAAAAAAAGCCACCTGCAAAATAGAAGAGTTGCAAGTGTGTAAAGCAATTCTTAGATGCCTAGGAGAACAAACAATCTTTACTAGGGATGTTTTGGGAGTGGAAAAATGTCAGATTTCCAGGGCTTGGCTGCCAATACAATGCCTGCTAGCCATGTCTCCAGATTTCTGGCAAGCACGCTGAGCATTCATGTGGACACCCGTGCGGAAGTGAACCCGCGTGGCTGCTGTGCACACAACCTGCGCAACCAGCCTTCCGTCAGCATTTGTGGACTCCCTCTCAGCTTGGCTCCCTTCCTAAGTGAGGACTGAGCACGAGAATAAGTCTTACGGACAGAAGAGGGACGGATTCTGGGGACAATCATTGCAGTGTCGTGGTTAGGAGCATGGGACTGGGACTCAGGTGAACTGGGTTCTAGTCCCCACTCGACGATGGAGCCAACTGGGTGACTTTGGGCCAGTCTCAGACTCTCAGCCCTGACCTACCTCTCAGGGTTGCTGTGGGGATAAGATTGAGAGGAGGAGAATTAGGTACACTGCTTTAAATTCTTTGTAGGAAAAAGGTGGGATAGAAACTTAATAAATAAACAAACCCTAGTCTTTATCTGCTGCTGGAAAAATCATAATTTAGGTGCCAAGTAAACCTCTTTGAGAAGGACATTCCACAGACAGGGTGTTGTGAGCTAGGGTCTCCCCCTTCAAACATTCAGTCACAGACCTTTGTTGCAAAAAGTTCTTTATTGGCCGAAGCAATTTCCTGATGCACATATGCCAAGAATGAACTTCTGAACATGCACAGAGTAGTTTGTTGAACCCAAACTAGTATTTACTTCTAGGAACTCTGCTTTTGAGCATGCCTGGGCCCCATCTCTTTGGCAGGGTGCCTCTGAAAAAAGCACGCCTCCTCTCTGTGCGCCATTTTGGTTACCCTCCTCTGCTGGCTATGTGTCATGGGGTCAAGAGCCATGCCTGCCTCATCTGTGCCTGAGAAACACCCCTGTTCCAAATCCCTGTCTGCCTACTGTACATCTTGATTATGCCCAGAGACTACCTGCCCAGCTGGGAAGTCTGGTCTTGAGATAAGTTTCCCTGCTTTTCTCATCTCAGTGCCTGAAAATGGACCACTTTCCAAGTCCCCCTCATGACATCACTTCCTCCGTCTCTTCTTCCGAAGACCAGTCAGCCATCCTTGAGAATGTGTGTCCAAAGCTGTTTTCTCACTTCCAGCACAGGGTGCCACCACTGAAAAGGCCTCTGTCTAGCAGCCATTTGCTTTGCCTCATTTTGCAGGAGTTCGAATTGGGCCCAGGACTGGACTGGCATCTACGATGGGTGGCAAAGTACTAGCATGCCTTTGCCATTGGATAATATAGGTGGTGTTTGCTGATGCCCTGGCAAAGTAGGGGTGCCTCGCCCACCACTTCTTTCTCAGAGTGAGCCATGTGATGACCAAACTGGAGAGCTATATCAGAGCTTGCCACCACTTTCTGCTGAGGCAAATTCCGCAGCAACAAGCAATGGCTGTGTGGAATTCCACTAGGGCACCCCTGAAAGGTGTGGGTTTTTTTCTCTCTGTCTAAACGTGCATAGGATTGACCTTCAATTAAGCCTTTTCCTCTAATATGCTGGTTGCCTGCATGCACAGAAGGCTTTTTTCCCCAGATATCTCCAAAAGTTTTATTTGCCGATACTTATGATTTTATTATGAATTTCTGAGTTTAGCATGTTAAAAACATAAAATGCAGAATGCCTAATAAAATCTGAAGGGCTCCAGCTCTATCATATACAGAAAAAATTCTAGGGTTAGGCCACTGCGGCTTATAACCCTGAAAGGAGCGGATATTATTATTATTATTATAACATTTTTATTATTATAAAATAGCAGTGTAAGTGTAAGCAGTGTAAGTATCTGCCTAGCTTTGCTCCAAGTGTCAAATGCACGCACAATTCTCTTGGGGCACAATCCTCTACTGCGCTCGGAGCATATAGGATTGGGTGGAAGTCCTGCTATACTGGCAACAAGCCAGAGATCCTGCATTGTATTTCCGGCACCTGTGGAAGACTTTCTTGTTCTTGGGACACTTTCTCTCTCTCTCTCTCTCTCTCTCTCTCTCTCTCTCTCTCTCTCTCTCTCTCTTTTATAATAAGTTTTATTCAAAATAACCCTAAAACAAAAAAAAACTAAAAACAACATCAATCATCAGAAACATCGGACCTGCTGGGTCAGCCCCCACCTTTTTTTCCATTTATGATAACTTAGAAACATATTTAAATCTATACAAAATCCCGTTTCTCTAGCCAATGATAAAAAGAGTCCCAAGTCTGATAGAAATCAGTATCTTCTTTTTCAGAAGGCTTTTGTTTTTAACATGGGGAACCATTAAAATGATTGACTCTCCAGCTGCACTTTGATTTGGTACAATCCAGAAAATGCTGTACCACATCAAGGTGTCGAGAAGCAAACCAGGGGACACTGGTGTATGTATGAATGTGTGTTAGTGTATTCGAGTCAGAACAGTCTTAAACCTTGACCACATGTACAGTCAGATGCCAATGGAAGACTTACCCTGCAAGATTTCGAAACACTTTGCGGGAAACTCAAGAAGTGTAAGGTATGAATGAAAACTCAATCTTACTCCTGTGGCTGCTGCTTCCCATTGCACATTTTAAAATAGTTAATGATCTCGTATTCATGACTAGAGCATCTTATGTTCAAATCATGTGTTAATCCCCCCATATCATTTTGGAGGGGTGTTAAGATAGTTCATATGAGCAGTTAATGCATCTAGATATTTTCATGTTTAACAAGAAGGTATGAAAGTTTAATTATTTTCCAGGACATTTTTCGAGGAGAAGATGAAAATAATTATGGATTTCTCAGTGTTTCTAATTTGGGAAGAGCAATATACAGTACAGGTATGCTGTTATATGCTGAAGGTATTTTCCAGTTAGGCCCAATTTAATTTCGAATTTCATAGATTTTCAGGAAAAAAATCTAAAAGAGAAATGTAGCAAATGAGGCTTCCCAAATGGTTACTGCTCAGTTTGTCAGACACAACAGCAGTTTTTGTTTGGGGCTGTGGGTGGAGGATGAGGCCCCCACATGAGTCCCAGAAAGGCGAGGTGAAAGCTTAGAGATAGTCATAGATTCCTATTCTGGTGTCTTCAGATTTCCTGCAGAAGGGTGGCCACTGAGTTTATAATGGAACTGCACTTCAAACTCCTTTGAGTCCATGCTGACATCTGCTGAGCAGTGTCAGGATTACAGCCAAAATCCTCTCTCCCCACCCGCATTGCCTCAGCATTCCCAGTTTTGACTGCATTCTTCCAACTTTGCTGGTTCATTCCTATTTGTAGCCCATCCTATAAGGAAGCAACTCTCTGGTTTTGCTGTGGTAGAGGAGGGCATCTTAGCGGTTGAGATGGCCGTTACATTGCATGATCCGCCACCCTCTAATCAGATAACAGCCTCAAAACTTAGAGATTGTTCAGGAGAGAAAAGGAGGAGACAGGGAAGTTGTAAGGCCTCTGGAGACTATTATGATTCTTGATGTCCTTGTAGAATTTGGTGATGGGGGTGGGGCAGTGGAAAGATGCTCCGAATAACATTCCCTTGGGATGCATAATTCATGTGCTGCATAAAAGTGGATACAAGAAAGGCCTTGTGATAATCAAGGCAGTAAAACATCACATAGGAAGGGAATGTGTGTGCTGAGCCATCCTTAAAGGCAAATGAACAGTCCTGAAGAAGTATGTTTGCACGTGGAGGGTGGGGGGAGGCAGGGGAATTGGAATAAAATATGGCAAAGTCAGCTGCTTTTCCTAACACCAGAATTTAGGAGGCAGTGTAACCCTCTTTCAATTGCCCCCTTCCATGTTGCAGTATGTATGTATGTATGTATGTATGTATGTATGTATTTATTTATTTATTTGGGATTCTTGTATGCCGTCCCATTCGCATAAGCCTTGGGGCAACTTCCAACAAATAAATAACAGTACAAATACATAAAAGCTGGAAACATCCAGGCAATAAGTTAAAACCAATAAATAAATTAGTAATTAATTAAAATAACATTTAAATAATTAGTAATTAATTAAAATAACATTTAAATAATTAGTAATTAATTAAAATAACATTTAAATAAAAAGGTCTTGGCCTGACGCCGAAAAACAAATAATGACGGCGCCAGGCACACCTCTCTGGGGAACGCATTCCATAAGTGGGGAAGGTATTGAGAAGGTATTGAGTAGATTCTAAACTCCTTAGGGCAGAATCCTATTGCAGTGCTTGTACGCTCCTTAACTCAGCCGTTTACGGGCACCCTGTGTAGAGCAGGAGGGGCTGAGTAGGTGGAGGTCTCATCCCAGTCTTCCCATGCTGCATATTTCACTAGAAGGGGGGGTTGCCCCTGTAGCTGGGGTGTTTCGGGGTGCAAGGAAGGAAGCTGAGGAGGCTTCAGGTTAGATCATATCCTGGCCTTTCCAGCCCCCTTCCCACCCTGTCTACCCTGCCCGCTTTCCCCACTGCTCCAAGTTTACTTTCCTGGCCTCAGAGGGGAGCTGGCATTGTTCTGTCTGAGCCAGCTGTGAGGGAGACGAAAGCTGGCTGGCACTTCCATTCTCAGTTCTGACCACACATCTGGGAATCTAAATGATCCCACAGCCCTTGAAATGCTTCTCGGTCCATCGCATTGCTCCCTCCAGAGAGTCCCGCAGTTCCGTCGTGGCAGAAAACCTGCCTTGTGGTTTATAAGACTAAATTCATTGAAATAAGTGGTCATGAATAACTGAAGGCGCACTGAATTTAATGTGACTAAGTCTGGATCTGATGGGATCCAACAAATTGTTTGTGATCACAAATAGTTATGTGAGGTAGATCACTGTTATTTCCATGGGTTATGACATAAAATAAATTGCTTAAGCTCACCCTCTTCACTTACATTATTAGGGTTGCTGGCTTGCACTAAAATATAAAAAAAATATTCATTTATTAAACTTTATAGATAATGTCTTATAGCCCTACTGGGGCTCTGTGGGTGCTGTGCATTTCCACTAGAACCAACAGTAAAATAAATATCATCAAATAATACGATATGAACAAAGTTAGGTAGCTTAAAAGCATCAATTTAAAATCCACAAATATCTATCAGTAAATGTGAGTTATTAAAATATCTGGAAAACAGAACAGTCTTTGCCTGATCCCAAAACCACTAGTAATGAAGGTGCCAGGTGAACTTCTTTGGGGAGGCCCAGGACCACCGAAAAGGCCTCCTTCGATTTGCCAGTCCCCTCACCTCTTTGAGGGATGGTTCTTTAAGAAGGCATCTCCCCCAGATCTTAATGGGTTGGAAGGTACATAGGTATCCTGGTCCCAAGCCATTTAGAGCTTTATATGTCAATACAAGCAAACTGGGCCTGGACCTCAACTGGTAGCCAATGCAGATGGTACAAAATTGGCATAAATGGGCACATGGGCTAGCTTTTATCAACAGCCATGCAACTATAATTTGAACCAGCTGAAGTTTCCAGACACTCTTCAAATACAGCACCAGTTCATACATTAAAATAAGCAAAAAAAAAAAAGCAGTTCCTTAGAAACAGTATCTAAATAAAATGAATCAAGAAATGTTAGAAAATCTTGAAAGCAAGATTTAAAATTTTTTTAAAAGCTTTGCCTGGTGTTAGAAAGGCCTCTCTGTGGGTGCCAGCAGGCCTCTCTGGGGAAAGCATCCCAAAGCCAAGGTTGTGTTCTTGAGTTCCATCACGTCATCTCTGACTTATGGTGACCCTATGAGTGAACGCCCTCCAAAATGCCCAGCCCTTGACAGCCCCGCTCAGCTCTTGTGAACCAAGGCTGTGGCTTTATGAATTAGTCTATCTCACCATCAGTCTTCCTGTCCACCATCAGCCTTCAGGTTTCCCCACTGAAAAGGGCCCCTCTCCATTAGCCACCAGCCTCTTTTCAAATGGAGAAGAGCCTTTGAGGAGGGTCTCAAACTATGGATTTGTAGAAGGGATGTCCATTGGCACACAAGCCAGACATTTTGCTTCCCTGCTTGCTGCAAATGAAACAGGAAGAGACACCCCCACAAATGACGATTATTCACATATACAAGCCTGGTTCAGGAGCCATTTTTATGTCGTTAGTTGCCCTGGCCTGACCCCAAAGTATATCCAACAACACTCTGCTGTCTGATTTTGTGCTACCAAGCTCCTCCTCAGTCTCCTCTGGTTGTTATTTGTAGGTGTGTCTATCAGTGACAAGCTCCTCCAGCTGATAGCCATACGATATGGTGACACTTCCATGAGGATAAACTTTCCAAATTTTGCGTGCTGTATGATTCGGCTGGAAACGATGGCAAGTAAGTCATAAATGGCTGCACATGATGCCTGTCCTGCCACCCAGAGCACAGGCGTGGCCGCTGCAGCAGCTGCCACTGCCGCCTCCTCCTCCTCCCCCCCGCCATCTAGACGCAAGATTGGGACGATGGCCTTTCTGAAGAAGTAGCCAAGCCCAAACGCCACGCCGAGGGGTCCTTCCCCAACACGCGGCAGCATCCTTCAGGGAACTGCCCCAGAACAAGAGATCAGGCTGACCTTGAGAAAGGGAATCTCCCAAGCAAGCCACTGGCTGAGCAGTCTCTCCAGAGAGGCCTCTTGGCTGCTTTGTGCAGCTCCCATGGCGCTCTGGCGGGGCCACTTGTCCACTCGGCCTCTTGTTAGCGGGGTGCTCCCAGAGCAAGAGCTCAGGCAGGCAGGCAGCTAAGCAAATGGGTAGGTGGTGGGCAGCCTCTCCAGAGACCCCACTCACCTGATCTCTAGTTTGGAAGAGACTGAGAGCAAGAGATGGGGCAGGCAACTGATCCTCCAAGGAGCCTCACTTGCCTCTCTCCCATTGTGGTGGAGGGAGGGAGGGAGGGAACTGTGCAATCTGTTGCTCCCCCCAGTCCATCACCTCTTCAGTCTGCCGCCTAAGCAAGGGATTCACTCATCCTCCTGGCCTTGTACTATTCAGGGGAGGGTTGGGGATGTTGGTTTTTTAAGGGTGTTGTTCAGTCGCAAGTCGTGCCCGACTCTTCACGACCCCATGGACAACATTCCTCCGGGTTCTCCTGTCCTCCACCATCCCCCGAGTCCACCGAACCCCACATCCATTGCTTCAGTAACCCAATCCAGCCACCACAACCTCTGCCATCCCCTTCTCCTTTTGCCTTCAGTCATTCCCAGCACCAGGGTCTTTTGCAACGAGTCCTTCCTTCTCATTAGGTGGCCAAAGAATTTGAGCTTCAGCTTCAGTACCTGACCTTCTAAAGAGCAGTCAGGGTTGGTTTTTAAGGATAGGGATGGATGAATCTGTTTCTTGCAGTTTCTGCAACTTCCAAACTTTTTGAAGGACAAATTGATTCAATCACATTTCCACACCACTCTGTGAAGCTTTTGTTTAAAGCTCATTGATTTTTGTATGTGTTTCTTCTGTGGGATACATTGGTGTATGCAATGTTGCATACCTTTCTGCCAGTGTATACATATTTGTACAGAATTCCCCCAATATACACATTTTTTTACTGGAAAACTGCATTGCAAAATATGGAGAAATGCAAAAATTGAAGGATGATTGTACCCCAGTTCACATATTTTAACTGAAGATGAGGATTTGTTTATATTAAAATGAAAAGCAGATAAACTTATCCTCCATTAACACTTCCAGCAGTATATGTGTTGAAAGCATTTTGTTAGGTATTAATCTGTTTTGAGGAATTTTTCTTTAGTTTGGAATCTGTTGTTGGGAATCAATTATTTCATCAAAGAGAATGAGAAAATAACTCAGCAGTGAGCTTGACCCCAAGAAGTTCAGCGCAGTCCTACACACACACACACACACACACACCCCCCTTCAGAGATTAAACAACAACCTACTGCTAGAAGTGAGGTTGCAGCTGCTGCTGCTGATCTGATCTGTCTTGGCTTCTGAGTCCTCAGTCTCACCTTTCCCTTATTGAGGGAAAATGTCACCTGAGATGAGCCCATGTTTTGGCACCTCAACCCCCAGGACAGAAGCTAGCACTGCTTGGCCTTGGGTGCTTGGCCCCAGGCTGACTCGGAAGCCTTTCTACTCCAGGGGGAGGCCCTGGAGCAGCAGGGAGGTTCTGAGCCTGTGCAGAGTTCACACAGGTCTGGGTATGAATCTGAAGCTGCTGCGCTGCCCCCATGGACCTGTCGCACCACCGCCAAGCAGTGTGGAGAAGCCATTGATGGTTTGGCACAAGAGGAGTGTGGGAAGGTGGGGAGAGAACGGAGAAGGAGTGTCCATGGTGTCCTCCAGCTGAAACCACCTCTGACAAATTTGAATGCACCTTGAATTAGAACATGCTGCAGCAACAACAACAAGGCTCAGTTATTCCCCATCGTTGTGTCTAGGATCCCCCCTTAATCTAGATTTTACAGCATTTGTTGCTGTTTTCAGCATTTTTAAGCCACTCAGAATAACTTCAAGTTATGGGGCAGCATAGAAGTAGAATGAAATAAATAAATAATTTTACCAGGTACCTCTGAAAATATCCTGGAAAAATCCTCCATGTTTTGTTGCAGGAACATTTTAAAGTAAGAAATTAAACCGCAGACCATACTGCATTTCCATACTGATGAATACTAACATTTTACACACTCCTATTTGTAAGGAACAAGTCTGATAAAAGCATCTTGCATTGACAATTAAATGGAAGTCTGTGGAAAACAGACTTCCATTGGTGGAGTTGTCATGCTTCCAAAACTGCCTACAATAAGCATATAAAATCCACCAAAACCTTTCAGTTGTTCTTTTACTGAAAGTTTAAACTGTATTATGCATTTCTTCAGGCACTCAAAAGTACAGCCCATGGGGTTTTCTCCAGAAGAAACCACTGAGCTAAATGGTAATAAAGGGCAGTGTTCCAATAATGTGCACTCAGAATAGATGGCTAAATTAATTAATAAATAAACAGGCTCGTTAAACCATTACTTTTGTTCCCTGGATAACTGCACTAATAATACCTAAATCAAAAGCATCTCATCTCTTATCATTGCCTTTAAAAAGGAGGCGGAGAAGAAATTGAGATTAAATCACAGTTAAGACCTAGCATTAATGTGCATTTTACTTTGGGAATTGGCTAGGTCTCCTGAGGCTATTGTTTAGTTAAAACCAGTTTAGAACAGTTTAGCTTGAGTCAGAAAAAGCATCCTCAAATAGAATTGAGTGAATGTAATACTGAATGTCCCTTTTAAAACCATTCCACTAATCTCTTTCAAGTCTGGTATGGCAGGCTGTTTCTCCTTCTAATTTTTTCTCCCTGTCACTGAGTTCCATGCAGCAACAGGCTGCACTAGCTGACCTTGTGAACCATTGCTTGTTTTAGCACATGGTCATGTTTGTTTTTCCACATGTTTATTCTCATTTCTCTGATGCCCCAATTGCTGTTGCTTGTCGCAAAGTCACATCCAGCCCATTGCGACCCCATGGATAACATTCCTCCAGGCCTTCCTGTCCTCCACCATGCCCCGGAGTCCAGCTCACAGCGACTGCTTCAGTGACTCCATCTAGCCACCTCATCCCCTGCCATCCCCTTCTTCTTTTGCCATCTATTGTTCCCAGCATTAGGCTCTTCTCCAGGGAATCCTTCTTTCTCATTAGGTGATCAAAGTATTTGAGTTTCATCTTCAGGATCTGGCCTTTTAAAGAGCAGTCAGGGTTGATCTCCTCTAGGACTGAATGGTTTGATCACCTTGCTGTCCAAGGGACTCGCAGGAGTCTCCTCCAGCACCACAATTCAAAGGCCTCAATCCTTTGGCGCTCAGCCTTCCTTATGGTCCAGCTTTCACAGCCATACATTGCAACAGGGAAAACCATAGCCTTGACTATATGAACTTTTGTTGGCAGGGTGATGTCCCTGCTTTTTAGTATGCTGTCTAGATTTGCCATAGCTTTCCTTCTAAGGAGCAAGCATCTTTTAATTTTTTGGCTGCAGTCACCATCTGCGGTGATCTTGTGCCCAAGACAATAAAATCTGTCACTATCTCCATTTCTTCCCCATCTATTATGCCCCAATACCTGCCCAGAAAAGGACACAATTTGACACCCTAAAGAGCGTCTTACCTCCCCAGACATATATAGCTACCAGCTCAGAACTGGCAGTGACATTTGGTTCATGCGAAACACTGTACATACATTCTGTTATTTGAATGCAAAGAAAACATAAACTCATTAATATTTCCAAGAAACTAGGTAGTTTAGCTGTGCAATGACCTGCCTATTTGATTCAATGATCATGATTTCTGATCCTAGCTTGTTTCAATAAACCATAGTTCAAACTAAATTGTATTCCTGGATTGGACATAACAACAAATTGGGCTTAATTTTGTTTAGGAAGTAGAGGCCTCTGATCTCCCTCTGACAGCAAGAAGAAAGAGAAGGGAGAGTTTGCACTACAAATCTTGTCCAGGTTTATTTGCATCATGATAAGCTTTGGTTTAGTGTTATGTCTGGACTAGCTCCATATCCCTAGCAAAAAAAAAATCTGCTCTTGTTCCAATCCACTACAGCAGAATTTGTACAGCCAGAACAACCACTTCATATACAAATGTTATTTTTTTGACTTTTACTTTATTTCAGGCTGCAGCCTTGTACATACTAATTTGGAAGTAAACCTGCTAAATTCATTGGGACTTACTTCTGAGAAAATATATTCAGAATTGCACTGCATGTGTTTTAATTGCTTTCTTGATTTTTTGACAGAAAAACTTAAATTTGTGTGGTTTAATATTTGCAAGGTTGCTTTTTAAAACTTTAGAATTGTAGGTTTTGAAATGTTATTGACTAGGTACATTGGTAGCTTGAAAGAATCACACTATTTTATAGAATTGCCTCTTTTTGCTAAACTTTTATGCAAAATCTTGTTCTTCATTCTCATAAAATGAAGCTTTATTTTGTACTCTCCAGAGGTATTTCACAATTTGTCTGCAGATGGGAAAAGAATCTCTTTCAATGAAGATGAGGTGAGTAGTAATTATTTCCATTTTGTTCCTTTCTGCCTTTCTTCATAGTTTCTTGGTTTTATCTTTGGACATGAAATGTATTTTCCCCTCAAATCATACTGAAACATTTTATATTTTAGAGCACAATATAAGAAAAGCAGAACCACAATGAATAGTCACAGTAAATTTTGAATATGCATTTCAGTGACCTGGCTCAGGTGAAAGGAGAATCCATCACAAATAACAAACATGGGGTGCTGCTGTATCATCCAAACCACAAGCCAACGTGAGAGCCCATGGGTTGCTGTACAAGTTCGCTGCCCACAGTGGCCTACGGTGCATCCTGAACACAGGGGACCGATCCCACTGGGGGAAAAGGAGAGCAGCAAGCCAGGCACAAAGCAAGAGAGATGGAATACTCCTTGCTGCTCTTAGTGACTGTGTTTGTGTCTCTGCTGGTTACACTCCCTCCAACGTGCCCAAGCTGCACATTGGAAGTGCTGCCACTACTTGGCCACCTTTAAAAAAAGCACCCCAAAGTGTGCATTTTTTCACTGAGAAAACTAGTTAGATTTGTGCGTGTGCAAAGGTGCACACTTCCATATTGCCCAGGTGTGAAGTGGGAAGTCACACCTGGACAATGTCTTTGGGGTGGGGAAATGGATACCAAAGGCCAGTAATTGCCAGCCCTCAACATTGACCTAGGAAGGCTCCAAAAGTTTTCATTTGGCTTTTCCCTGATAGCTGTCAAAAGGCAAACTGTCAAGGGAAATCAAAGATGTGAGTGATCTTTGCTTGTGAAATGGGATAGATGCTCCCCTTTTCCCCCTTCAGGGCAAAATCCTCTAGGTTCTGAGTACTCCCCATAGGACCTAGTTCCTACAGCTTTTCCATCTGTTCCCAAGACTTTAAGTACTTTGGAAGGTGGAAATGTGACCCCCTTTTCTCTGACAGTTTTCTTTGAGAGATGTCAGGAATAAGCTTAAAACCCCCCATCCATATATCCATGTAATACAGTCAGGGCAAAAAGCATAGTTTGTACAGGAAATATGCATATCAGATTTTGATAACCATCGAGGGAAAGCAAAATAAAACAAAACATACCCATCCCTACTTGGGGCTTTCCTGGTGAATCTCTAAGGTTGGTACCTGCTTCATTTTGACCCAGGACACTGGCTAAGCTTTGACTCAGGACATTGGCCTCTGCACTTGTGCAAATCTAACTAGACTTTAAAAAAATCAAATTCAATAAAATGGATTGTGCACATTTGCAGTCATTTTCCTTCTTTAGTGCCCAGCCGCTTGGGTATTTTGGCGGTCACTAGCTGTCACAGGCCAGTGGCTGTCACTTAGGAGAGTGCAACAGGCAATCTCTGAAAATAAATAAATAAATAAATAAATAAAGGGGGGAGGGAGCCAGAGTGCATCCAAAATGGGGACAGAAAGGAGACATGGCAGCATCAGCTGAGATGTATCCCCTGGGAAGCAGCCTGGAGGGCCCAGGAGGAAAGACGGGGAGGACAGCCCATGGTGAGCTGAATCATCTGTCAGGCACACCATGGGTAGTTCTGTGGACAGCCAACCCGCTGTGGCTTATTGCCACGGTGGGCTGCTGTGATGTGCGAGCCCACCTGCTGTGTCTAGTGCTGTGGACTGACATTTAGGTGTTTGGCAGCTTGGGGAAAAGGAGGTGCAGTCCAACTGCCAGCATTCGTCTGGCTGCAAGGCCACCGGAAACGGTGCAGGTGCCAGTGGAGCAGCAGAGCAGGGATCCTGCTGGCAGGAGGGCGTGTGTGCTGCTTGAGGCTTGCTGTCGCACCCATGGCACTGGCGCTGGAACTGGGCATCCTAGGGGCATGCGGGGGGAGCACGACCCACCCACAGGCTCCTCAGCCCTTTGGTGTCCCTGCCATGCCGCAGGAGAATGGACGGGCACAGTCCTCTTTCTTCCATTTGAGTCACATTTCTGGCACCCCCCAGGCCTGACCCAGTTACGCCACTTTAGTTTGGAGTGTGCAGCGGATGCTTCTTCCAAGACGGATGTGTCAGACAGACGAGTGGAAACCTCACAGCACGCCAGACATCAGGTGGTGGGAGAAGTGCTCTGATTCCAGCTTCCTGTTGTTTATTTATTTGTTTATTTATTTATTTAAAAATATTTTTAGCCCATCTTTATGGATTGGATCTTTAAGGAAGGTTGAGTATCAGATAAAAACAATATAGAAATAGGAACCCCCACCCCCACAGAAAAGCATTAATGAGTGTTCAGTAAAATACTATGAAAACAAAGGACAACTATAAAGCAGATCAAATTCCTTTATAAAATCTGCAGAAGGAAGGCAGGTTGTAAAGCACTGGGCATGTTTGTTGCTTCCCTTCACCAGCGCAACCAGATCGTTCAGCTGCCTCTCGCTCTGCCCCAGGAAGAGGCATGGGAGGTGCTGTTGCTTTCCCTTTGCTGCCCCACTGCCCGTCAGTCCAGGGGGTGGTGGCAGTGATGGGAAAGGGGATCGGAGGCACAGCAGCTGGTGACGATGGCGACAGGACAGCCAGCTCGTGGAGGTCCACTGAGGACGCCTGGCCCAGCCTGAAACTGGCACTGGGATGCAGGGCTGAGGAATTACAGTGGGACCCTGCTCAGTCAGGCCAGAGTCCTGTGTCCTGTTTCCCACACTGACCATCAGGTTACTGATGGGAAGCCCACAGAGGGGACTAGAATCATGTCTGGAAGCATGCCATGGCGTTCAATTTGTGTTGGGTGATACTTGGCTGCCAGTACCTTGCCACCTTGCTGGAAGGGTGTGCTGCCAGTGTTAGAACGCCACAGATTTTCTGTAATAAGGTGGTTCAAGGTTATATCCCTGCCCACATATTTTTCATTATTTATTTGCCATAGTCTTGTTTCCTTATGATCTGCTTATACATCAGCAGGCAATAAGTAACACGAGTGTTTCATAGCAGAGAAGAAAAGTGTTTCTTTCAAATACAGCATTGGCTTGAATTAACCAAGTTAGGAGCATTGTGTGCGAATAATGTATTTTAAGATAGCGTGAACTGTCTGGGCCTGCCCAGAGTTACAGAGTTGTGTTATAATTATTCAATTTACATTTTTAGGAATGTATTGGAAATTCAATTGCGTCTTAGTTCCCCAACACAGGAGCCTCCCCCTATTTGTATTCAGCAATTGCTTTCAACGTGTTCACTTATTTAGAAGCACTGCCCTCAGTCTGAATTGGCATTGTTTGGACACGGAGACATCAGCAAGCAGGCAGATTTGATTGGCTATGCAGTATCAAGGCATCATCCCTGATAAGTTGCAATGATGCGTGTATGTAAGACAGTAAAGAGAAAGAAACTAACCAGGTGGAAGGATACAAAAATAGCAGCTTCTACTAGAGGAAATAATGTCAACAATAATATTGAAAAAAGTGAATGTTCCCACAATTAACAGGTTTATTGGTGGAGAGAGACACCATTGTCCTGCTATAGGTAATTGCTGTCCTAAGATCAAAATGTGGTGGTGGTGTTATTATTGCACTTATTGTACTTATATCTCACCTTTTTCCACTTGTAAGGCATGCAAGGCGTCTTACAAAGCTCTGTTTTGTCTTGACAACGATCCTGTGAGGTTGGTGAGGCTGACGTTGAGCGACTGACCCAAAGTCATCCAGTGGGCCTCATGGCCAAGTGGGGTCTACACCCAGATCTCCCTGGTGCCCAGTCCAATATTCCAACCTCCACACCACAACGGTTCTCAGTAGTGTTCTCTCCATAGTGCTGGTGTTGCTTTAAAAAAAAATCAGTCCTATCTGCTTGTTATATTTCTCCCCTAAATACATTATTTCTTTTCTTTATCTTCTAGTGGATGACAATGATCATGTACTGCTAAGCAGGGAATATGACTCTATATATACTGGTAAGACTTTACCTAGTTGTTGCTATTGCAGGAAAAAAAAATCTACCCATGTTAAAGGGTGCTGAAGACCCTTTAAACTCTTAAAACCTAAATCAAACCTTTCCAGAGTCTCGAGGAGGCATGATGTTGTAGTTGTGGGGGACTGTCCCACCAAGATATTTCTAACATGTGTTGCTGACAACTTCCTCTGACAGGAAGTGGAGGAAGGAACTAGAGGAATTGATTCTATCCAACAGGGAATACCTAGTGGGCAAAGTGGCAGTTAAGGGAACTCTGGGGGAAAGTGACCATGCCATACTTGGTTATAAAGGTATCAAAAGCCAAGTGTAGCCAAACATATACCCTGGTTTTAGGAAAGCCAATTTTAACAAACTCTGGACAATGATAAGGAAAGTCCCATGGCAAGTGACTCTAATGAGAAAAGGAGGCCAAGATGGATGGGAATAAACAGGAAATTCTAAAGGCACAATTACAAACAATTCCAACAAAGAAAAAGAATAGAAGACAACTGAAGAAGCCCATGCGGCTTCACTTAGAGATGATCTGAAAATAATTTTTAAAAAGCATCTAGAGGAAGTGGAAGGAAGGAAGAATCCAGGCAGGTAGCACAGAATTGTGGAGATGGCATCAGGAAGGCTAAAGCTAGGAATGAACTGAGGTTAGCAAAGGATACTAAAAGCAACAAAAGAAGCCTTTTCAGATATGTCCATACTAAAAGACAAAGTGCAGGACATGGAATAATGGGCTTAAGTTACAGAAATCCAGGTTCTGGTTGAACATCAAGAAGAACTTCCTGACTGTTAGAGCAGTACAGCAATGGAACCAATTACCAGTGATGTGTTCAAGTGCTTTATTCCAAGTCTTGATTTCCTCAATCAAGTCTTTGATCTCAAGTCTTTAATTTCAAGTTCAAGTTAAGTCTCAGGTCATTCATTGCAAGAAATCTTTGAGTCAAGTCTCATGTCTCTTCCCAAGTCTCAAGAGCCACCCCACTTCCCTTGCCCTTATCGCAACCCCCCTCGCTGCCCCTGCCCCCTTGTTTGTCTCTCCCACTGCCTCACTCATGCCAAAAAGGGAAGCTGAAAACTTGCCATGCCTTTCTCCGATTGCAATCCCCTCCTCCCTATCCTGTCCCCGCCTCCTTGAAACTCTCTACCCGCCACCACCTCTACTATGTTCATGCCTGCCCCCAGGATAACCTGCCACATGGAGCAGCCCAGTCATAAAAACCATAGAAATCTTGAGTCGTCACTCACTCATTGCCCTGGAGTGGAGTCAGACTTGAGAGCAAGTCACTCAGCTCGAGTCTCAACATTGCCAATTCTCTGGGGAGGTTGTGGGCTCTCCCACACTAGAAGCACTCAAGATGCAACTGGAAAGCTATCTGGGAGGAATGGTTTAATTTGGAGTCTTGCACTGAGCAGGAAGTTGGACCCGATAGTTCTATTGGCCTCTTCCAACTCTGCTAGACTATGATCTTATGAAATTAAGCCAGAACTTTCCCTGGAAGCAAAAATGATGAAACTGTGACTGTTGTACTTTGGACTCACTGGAGAAGACAATCATGCTAGAAAAGTCAGAGACAAAAGAAGAGGAAGACCAAATATGAGATGGATCGATTCTATGAAGGAAGCCACCATCTTGAATTTACAAGAACTGAGCAGGGCTATGAATTGCAGGACCTTTCGGAGGGATTCATTCATAGGGTCACCATAAGTTGGAGATGACATGATGGCACATACCAACTGCAAACACATAAAGCTTAAAGTCCTGCCATAACACCCCAGTTTCAACCACTGAAGCATCTTAACATTAATGTTTATTTCCTCATGCTCTTGAACCAACTTGCCAGTCTAAGTTTTTAACATTATATATGGGGGAGGACTCAGCAGGCAATTAGAATTCTTAACCCTCACAACTTAATTTCATGAATGAATAAACACACGGGTGAAATTTGTATATTTCGTCCTGCAAACACTTAAACCTAAACATGCGCATTATGGCTGGTAGATTTTCAGCAGTCCAAGTTAAATGAAAGTCACCCATAAAGAGAGAGTGCATAAAACTCGCCTTACAGCCTCTCTGGGCAGCTTCAGACATTCCTGAGAGCCAAGTGAAAAGAGAGAGTGAATTAAGAGCACCTTCTTTGTCCTTTAAAAATAACTGCCATATTACAGGGAAACAATTATCAGGACCAAAGGTCCTAGGGAGGGCAGTGATTTGATTTTGATTTTGCTCAGATTAAAATTGCCCCTTGCCACCACTACCTAACTGGTTTTTAGTCTGAGAGGGAAACACTACAATGTAGTCTAATGTTAATATCCTCATATTGCGGATTTGCAGGGTGCTTAAAACAGCCATGTAATATTGTCCCCGTATCTTATCCTTGAATTTCATTGGTAGGCATTGGAAGATTTGTCCTAGCTATCTTGTATTGTGATCTCCCTATTTCAGATGAGATTAGAGGCTGATAGATAGTAGTTTTCAATAACTTTTTTACAACTGCCAACTTTGTATAGGTACAATATGCTGTAATTGCTCTTTTATACAATCAGGAGTGTTAATGCTTTGAAATGCGTAATGCTGTCACCTTGCATGAACCTGCTCACTCCCTGCTGCGGGCTGGTCTGAGCTGCCAAACAAAACACACAGCAGGACCAGTGGCCTCTACCCTCATGCCTTCGCCCACACAGCTGGTTTTAGCAGATCAGTGGGACACTCTAACCAAACCAAAAGGCAGGGCAAGCATTTCCCCAGCCCAGTCCTCCCAGGCCTGGTGCCTGTGCATGTTTGGAATAAAAGCTCCCACCACCCCTCACTAGTAGACCAAACTAACTGGCAGGGCAGAAGCTGACTAGCTGGACCTATGCAAATGGAGAAACAGAGTGAGTCTGAAGGGGTCTCCTGGGCCATCTAGTCTTACTCCTAACTCCAGTCAGCTCCACTCAGGACATGCCTGCCACGTGCATGTCCAGCCTATCCTTGAACACCAGCACCGATGGGGCTTCAACCACCTCCCATGGAAGCCCATTCCATACCCTCGGGGTCCTAACTGTCAGGAAGTACTTCCTGGCATTCAAACTGAACCTTGGTTCCTTGAGCATGGTTCCACTGGAACACGTCCTGCCCTCCTCTGCAGGGGAGAACAGGTCTCCACCCACCATTCCCCAGTGCTGCTTCTTTCTTAAAATGCTCAGAAAGATGTTGAGTGGGGACCAGACATTACAGATGCAACTTGATTTCTGCTTCTGTGTGAAGTAAATGAAAACTTGCTTCAGTCTGTTCCTAATGGTGCCTTCCAAAATCAGGAGCCCCACGCAGTCGGCAGTGCAGAAGGCTGCCCTGGCCATAGCACAGCTGAGCGTCTGCATCCTCGGGGCAAGATAACTTGGCTTCCTGGAGCTGCAGTTCTGTCCTCCCCAGACATTAAGTCCCATTGAACTCAGTGGAACTTACTTCTGAGTAAAGATGCTTAAAACTGCATTGCAAATAAACCAGCTGGAATTTTGAAGAACGAAAGAAAAAAGCAAGCAAGCTAGACAGACAGATCTGAATGAAAATTTAATGACTGCTTCTGACTCTCTAATGAAAAAGGAGCTAAAATAAAAAGGGGAGGGAAGGATTAGATGAGTGAAAAGCACACACATGACCACTGTGGAGTGATTCTTCCTGGCTTTCCATTATTGAAGGCAACTGGGGTTGTGCAGTTGTCATTAAAACCTTCAGAAGGGTAGTACATATTGGAGAGTAGCCAGAGCTTCTGCATTAGCTAAATGGGAACATAAAAAGATATAAATATGCCATCAGCCCTAAAGATACAAATTATATTAGAGAGGAAGGAGGAAAGAAAAAATGTAATAAATTTTCCCTGAATCTAGATCACTTAAAGAAATAAGTCAGGCATGACTCATACAACATCTACAAATGTGAGTTAGAGTAGAATTCTCTGTATATTTAGAAAGGGAAAAATCCTACAATCCTAGCTGGCTGGGGGATGCTAGGATTTGTAGTACTTTTTCTGTGTCAACAGGCCTAGGACTGAGACCTTAGACATTTGGTACATCGTAGAGTCTAGCCTGGGTTACTGAAATATGGCGCATGCCTTTGTTATTTGTATTATACATTTAACACAGAGTGATGGAATCTTCTGGTCCTCTTCAGGCTGCTCACGTCTTAGTGAGGAGAGCCCTCAGGAGACTGAAACACCCTTCCGAAAAGAAGATCCTGCCAACAGGGGCAAACCACCTCTGGAACTGGGAGCAAAACGGGGCAGTTCAGGGCTGTCCAGCCAGCTGGCCATAATCCGTTCAAAAATACAGCAAAGATACCCAGAGGACCGTGATGACGCTTTACAGAAAAGATGTCTGTTTTCCTGCTGGCCATTCTGAGATTAGTTCCTGTTTAAAATCAACTCACATTTCACCAAATGTTATGCTGTCATGCAGGGCAATCACATGTTGGGTTACTTACGAGAATTAAATCGTAGAATTAAATCCAATGGGACTAACTCCCAGATAAATTTGCATAGTGCTGCAGACCTAATTTCTGTTTGTTATTTTATGCATTTTCATTGCACGTTTCATTGACCCTGTGAACTTTCTTGGGTGGCTCTGCTGTGGGCTAAAATTAGGGTACAGATTTAGTCAATAAATACACTCTTCAAGTGTGACCCGGGCCGCAGTCCTTTGGACTCTTATCCAGAAGTGTGCATGACTGGCACATGGGATTTCTTTTCCAAAATATCATTTTGGAAAACTTCAAGCCGTCCAGAGACCTGCAACTGGGTAAAAATACCCAAATAAATAAATAAATAAATAAATAAATAAATAAATAAATAAATAAATAAAGTTAGCTCTACCCCTGGCCTGACTAATCCTTCAATATCTATCAGGCATGTCTCTGGCACACCCCTGTACAGTCCTCTTGTTCTACAAACTGATAGAGCTGAAATTGTTTTGCCCAATTTGAAGACTGGCCAGAGAGAAGTGCTGCCGTGATTGC